ATTTGACCTTCCAGAAAGAAAACTTTCTCACATGCTCCCTTCCAAGCACCTCTAAACCCAACCCTTCCCGACTCGAAAATGAATAAAATCCAACCACTTACTATACAGTACAGTACAATACATTCCTCCCACCGGCCGCGGACAGAAAACAGCCCCCCCAAAAAGCAAGGAGAAGAATCAGATCAACGGGGGTGTCCCACGTACCCGTGGCAACTCCTCGACCCCTGACATCGGAACCACGCAAGGCTGAAGGGAAAGGGAGGGGGGGGGGGGGGAGTTGTCCCTAGAACTCAGCGCTGTACCGCACAGCACATCAACCAGCCCAGCCAGGGGGACTCAGTTTCTGTGTATGTGTACAGTACCGGTTGGGGGCTTGTAGGACCGGGTACCTCACCTTACACTCGCCGTCAACTTATCTTCTAGAAACTCTGGCGGTGCGGGGGGCTTCTGCTACCGTTGGGAAATTGGGCCGGAGAGGCCGGATTGTGGAGGGTTGAGGGGGTCGATTGCGTGAGAGTTCAAGCAATATGGAGAGAAGCAAATGGATAGGAGAGGGGGAGGGGGGCAGTTGCAGGCGAGATGTGCGGTGAGAGTGGGAAAGAGAGTGAAATGAAGAAGGGAAGACGGTGCGGTGGGTAAGTAAGGGTATACTGGACTTGGAAATGTAGTGCGTTTCCGCTATAGTATCGGTATGCATGTGCAGGTAGCTGGTAATCACCGACGGAAGAAGGAGTTCTTGCTAATATGTGGCCTTCGTGCTTGAGGCAGAAATGTAAATATCCCGGGGGACAAGTGGACCGCTGGGCTGGGCTGTACAGGAGTCCCTACGGTGCGTAGTGAGATTCTCCGGTTGTCGGAGTGCATGCGATTTTGATCTCAGAAATAATGGGACATGTGTGGTCGGAGGCAAATCCGCCAGAATAGGTACAATGCTTAGTATGTTTCGATGCATGTATAGTCCAAGGTTAAGCTTCTCGGGAATATCTGGAAGTCATCTATTCATGAAATTGCCCCTTCCTGCTAAGGAACACAAACACCATTCAACGCCGACAAAAGCTGGGTATGAATAACTAGAGCCCAATATCAGGTTATTGAGAAACACAATTCTTTTCTCCTCATAGGTTGAAGGTGACGACCAGGAAAGCGGTTTAGAGACCGAATTTGGAACTGAGGGCTGTGGTCACTCTGTCAGTATGGCCTAGCATATTTCCAGGTCAAGGTGTACTTACCGCCCATCACAGCCTTCCGTTTCTGGGTCTGGACGAATTTGTTGACATCTCGAGCCCAGTTGCTGCTGCTCTCTTCCAATCGTTCCATCTGGTCACCAGCTAGATTGAGCCGCTCTGTACGCTCCGTGACCTGACGTTGCATGTAGGACCAGTATCCCTCCTGATTGCCTGAGTCTGAAGACTGGTTGGTGTTTGTCCTGCCTTCTCTGAATGCCTTTCGACGCTCCTGTTCGTCCAACCGCATCTGTTCCTGCATGCGTTTTGAGGGTGGGCGATCGGGACCACCAACTAGAGAATGCTGTTAGTTTTCATGCACAAAATAAGATAGAGATATACCCACTAAGTAAGTCCATGTCGGCCGGCGAGATGTACTGTGTGCCGGAGATCCATTGGATATTCGTGATCGTTGGTCGGGGTGGAACGACTGCTTGAGGATTGTACAATTGGTCCTCAGAAGGTCGGCTGTGATATAGATTAATAACTTGTGTACGGAGAATAAATGCCTTCGGGTCAACTCACAGGCCAGTTCCTGCCCCCCAGACGTTAAACAACCCCACTTCTGAAGGGCTTGTCCAGACCATGACGGTGCCATTAGAGGAGACACTAGCATCGGCAAGTCGTCTCATGTCGGCAATCTGATTGATCGGGCTGCAACCGATCTCTTTGAGTCCGGGGATAGAGAAGGCCCGTGTGTTTCCGTCGCCAAAAAGACCAACAAGGCTATAGCCGCGGCCCTCAATCTTGACTACCGTAGCAGAATCACAGAGGTAATCGTCCCAAGACCTATGAGCGCCCTTGGATGTCGCAGGCTTGAAAATTCGACACCCTGACACCGTCACGGCAACCACTACTCCATTCACTCTGATGCCGTTGCGAAGGCCCCCAACAGCGTTAGGAGAAGCCGAAGCAGGATTGCCGCTGTCAGCATTGATTGGAATGATGTTGATGACCTTATCATCTAGTAAGCTTGCACCAGCAAAGACTGCCGAGTAGGTACCATTATCCGCTGGTAAGATCTTGAAAGTCGCCAGGTTACCTTTACTGGTACCCACAAAGCAGCAGATACTTGAGTAGTCTAGGAAGATCATCAGCCATCCAAGCGCGCGTGAACTGTTTTTAGAAACAGCTTACCTTCTCCTTCGAGTGTAAGCACCCCGAACTCGATACATGTGGGCCACTCTGGAGAGGAAGACTCGGAGCTGCGCTGTTTGAAGAAGCTGCTTCTCTTGTTTGCCTTCAGCAACTCCGAAAAATGGGCTGTGTGGATAATCGCCGGCCCGCGCAAGTCAATGATTGCTAGACTTCCGCTTTCGAAACCGACTGCGACAAACCCAACCTGGCTGTGTTTCAAAGCAGTCACTGGTCCCTGTTGCATGTTGAGGAGGGTGAGGGGAAGAATGCCTTGCTTGAGCCCAGGATCAACCCGATGAGTGATCGAGGTCAACTTACCGGGCCCTTCATTGGCACCTGGGGGCTGCTCACTTCCGAAATTCTTGTTGCTTCCCCAGCGGAAGACAACAAGCTCACCAGTTCTGAGACCTACAGACAGCTCACCCGTTGAACCACTTAGAGACATCTCAGTGACTTCGACGTTGCCCACACGACCTACTGCGCGGGCCAAGTCCACTTGTATGATCTCTCCGTTTTCAACTTCGTCATCAATGCCTCCGTCCCAAATGCGGATAGTGCCATCCGCATGGGCGGTGGTGATGATGTTTCGATCTTCGAAGCGTTTCAGTGCTTTCTTGGCCTCTGCGCCGCCCAAGAGGAACTTAGGCCCCTGTGACCTGCGCTCTTTCAAGCCCAACCAAGCAGAGCGATCAACTGCAGTTAATGTCGCCTTGGTCACGAACGGGTGCACGAAAGACAGGTATGGGTGAAGCATATTTGTAGGTGTGATAGGGTGTCCAGTCGGGAAGCTCATGGTGATCAGTTCTCCCGAGGACAAGCGGGCAATCAGGGCAATGGGGTCATGGGCGCCACCAAAATAAGGAGTGCTGCGTGGAATAGGGCAAAAGTCGACCACCTCACCTCCAGGTGGGGTGGGTAGGACCGAGACACGTCTTGGAGATTCGAAGTACTTCGAAATCATAGGCCAGGTAGACGTTTGATAGTTCGGAGTAGGGCCCAGATCCAAAAAGGTGAGGCCCTTGAGGGACTCGGCCTTGGGCCGGCCACCGGCAATCAAAAGCCCACTGTCATCACCGTTGTCCTTGACACACCACGCGACGTGTGTGATCGGATCCTTGAACCCAGTGGCTCCCGCCGAAGAAGGCCTTTCGGGACTTACGCCTGGCTGATCAACATTGGGGGTGTCAATGGACCGAGCCATCACCTTGCGACCGTCCTTCGAATCCCAGAAAACCAGGCTGTTGTCATCATGAACCGTCAAAACGAAGATGCCATTCGGGTGCCAGAGAGCCTGGGACAACCTGGGTCTGCGCAAGTCCGAAATCGGTACGTCCGCATTCCCACCCAGCGCGCCTGGAGGCACTTCATATTCGAAGTATTTCTGTGCGACGTTTTGTTTGAAAGAGAAGGTCACTGCGCCGTCCGGATACCCGACCAAGATCTTGCCAATGTCGCGAGGAGAAAAGGCGAGACTAATTACCGGACACATACGCGTCCGCGCATTGCGTTGAGCCCACAGATTCGGTACCCTGAAGGGCGTCAAGGTTTCACGATCCAGATCGTATGCGATAATGTCGCCTGGCATATGTCATCAGAAAAGGAATCACACGTGAATCCTAGCGGAGGTCGTACCATTCTGCAAACCAATGAAAGCATAGTCGAGACTCGGGTCGGTTAATAACGCACTCGCATGGCTCGGAGGTGCATACGAAACCAATGTCTTGCCGGTCTCAAGGGAGAAGATTGTGATTTCACTTTTCGAGTCGACACTAACGAGCTTGTCGGCGCAAAACTGAATGTGTTTCGCAGAGGCTTTGCGAGGCAACGAGAAGATGACCGATACGCGCCGTTGACCAAACACGTAGATCTGACCATGTCCAAACTGGGTATCACTGGTTCCGACTGCAAGGAGGGACTGAATCGGGTCGTAGGCAATAGCACTGACTTGAGAGTTGATACCGCAGCGAGCGAACTGGTAGATTGAAAAAGACTCGTTAGCATATACAATTCAATAGTAAAAGGTCCGCAGTAGGCTTCAGCAGTGGGAAAAGTGGAAGGCATATCCGGCATAGACGACGTACATCATCGAGGGCGAAGAGGTCCGGCGACAACCCTTCGGAAAAGTCCTTCTGGATGCCGGCCTGTTTCCCTCTCAGGAAGTGCGCCATTCTCACAGAGTTGGAAAAATGGAGAATGGGCAGTGAAGGTTGAACGTGGATAGAGATAGGATATAGAATAGAAAATAGGAACAAAGACCAGCGGCGACCCCACGAAGGTAGGGATCAAGTCAAGGGCAAGGTCATTACCGCGGGGAAGAAAAGCAAAGGTTCCAAGTTGACTGACGGCATTAAGGCTGATTGATTGATTGCCTTATGGGCGGCGGTCCGGGGCGGGGCAAACTGGATCACCCGCCCGCCCTACACTAGCCGCTCCCAGTTACGGTGCGATAACTATCTAGACGTAGTCACTGAGTAAACATGTGATGATCAATTACAGCTAGTAGGTCTAGTTCTCCTGTCATTGTTCGCCTGCTGGATAATTTCCCTATATTTACAAAGAAGGTATAGCTATCGAGTAGAAGTGTATAATGGCTGCTCATTCAATTTCATTCCTGCTTCACCGGACTCATAAATCTTACTCCGTAACTTATTTTGTATGAATCACTTAGGCAGCAACAATATGTTCTTCCCACTCACTGCCAAGGAAAACAGTACTCCCGTAGATAATCTTGATGTCGGACTTCAAATCACCGGAGATTCCTTCACGGTAGAATATCCATAATTGGCTTTTATGGACACCGGCCCTATGCGATTTGGAATGCTTGCTACACCTAGATCGTGGTGTTTCAAACTGTTTCAAACAAGGGTCTTTCGAAGATCTGCGCTCTGTATAGTTCTTGCTATATACAAACAAAGGATAGTCTAAGAACACGAGCATTCAAGTCATGCAATCATCATCCCAACCTGCTGATAGTCAGGAGTGTAGCGACCGAGGAGAACAGAGCTGATAGTTGCCAGTCAGTTTACTCCTGGCACATCATCGAGCCCCTTTAATGGCACTCATTTCTGCCAAGGTCGTCGTTAGCCGTCTCCTCGCCTCCATCTCAGCAGTCATGTCTTTGTCGCGGTAATAGTGTATTGTGATGTTGTGGACAGAGCGGTAGCAAGCATAACTGCACCGATCATTAGCTTCCTTCCATGATGTTGAATGGAGCCGGAGTCACCTACAGTAATTGACGAGTCACCTGTGACTCGCTCTTCGTAAGTCGAGTGCCAAAGCCTTCGAGCATGGCAGGCGAAGGATCCTCGAAAACCTCGGCCATATATATGTCACCCCACAATGCATGGCCAAAGCCCGTCACTCCAGACAGTTTTCTAGATGCCGGATCCAGAAATACTTGTGACGGACGGCCTAGGCCAATCACTACCAACCGTGGTAGGGTGACTTCTTCCAGTGCATATGACAAGCGGCGAACGTGATGCCTAATCTCAGAATAGGGGAGATGAACAAAAGCATCTTCTGAGTCTCGCAGAATGTCCTCGAAGAGCACGACAAAAGCGTCCCTCCAGGAGAGCTTTCCCCGCCCACAGGCCACCTGCTCCAGCGAGCCGAAAGAGTTCGAAAGGGGCTGTCCGATTTGTTGGACCAGCGACCCCAGATCTCTGTCCAGTTTTCGGCGTTCTTGCGTCGTGAGTCGGGGTCCCATCTCCTTCAAGGTCATGCCTGTGACATAATGTCTGACTAAGAAGGCAGACCCAAAAGGGTCACCTTGAAAGCCATAATGTACAAACGATGGCACATATGGAGTTGCACTCTGCCCTAGAATGGACAGAGCTCGTGCTTCCGTCTCAAGCAGGAGCTGTTCTCGCCGTAAAAGAGGTGTTGTCGATCGAGGTGGACATTTCAGAAGCCATTGGTCTCCATTTGAAAGTATCAGGAGACTGACGGAATGTAGATGACCCTCCAGAGGATATACCTCTTGAATCTGGACCGAAGGCGGAAAGTGCCGTTGGAGCACTGAACCAATAGTATTTGTACGTGGGGGTTCAACCTTGCAAGTTGGCGAGACAGAGAAAGAAGGTGACATGATGGAAGGAGAGGGAGGGATGAATGAAGAAAAGCCAACAAGTCCCATCAGGCTCTATAACTTTCTTATAACATCATAAGCGTCGTGATCTGTAATATCGATCGGACACCGTGCAAACATTGCAGCTTTTAGTAAGAGGGGTGCGAGAGGGGTATTGTTCTTTGGCAGGCAGAAGAACCGGAGATGTTCTCCTGGCAATGGGTGGCAGACAGTCGATGGTTAGGTTAAGCCAGAGCCAGCATGCTTTGCTGGCCAGAAAGCCTGTTGTTGCCCTGCAAGATTTACGGTATCTCCTCGCTTGATTAACCGGAATATATACAACTCTGTTCTGCAACCAGGGGCGCAGGAGACTGGCAAGAGACTGGCAAGAGTCTCCGGTAGTTTGGGGGCATTATTTCCCCATTGGAGCAGATTAAGCGAGTTGGAGGATTTGCGCAATGCGTCCATGGTGAATGGAAGTAGATGTAAGTCCGAAAGACTCCAATGCGATAGAGGAGTACTGGAGTACTGGAGTAATGGAGTACTAGTAAAAGAGAGAGGGTCTGAGTCTGAGTAAGGTTCGGCCTCGCGGGCTCGCCTAACTCTCCCGCTCTGAGAAAGGCGCCATGCAGGTGAAACGGGCCCCGCCCAATCATAGCACCGCTTTACCGAATGCAATATCGCGGAAGGATCTGCCGGCTCCAGCCCTCAGGCTTTCGCTTCAAAGAGTGCGGAATTGCTGATGAACTGGACACTTGATCGTGATGCTAAACAACGATCAGGAATCTATCCCCGGCTCTAGTCTTGTTTCTGGTCTTTGCAATGGAGTCGACTGCAAGCCATTACCTCGCAATGACTTATGGTTGGCTCCTCCGGTTCATCCAGAATACTACGGTGTCACCAGTAGATTGAACTATATTAATGTACACATGCACACACTGCACTAGTAGGACTAGATCAGCCTGGGCAAGAGTGACAGCAATGTTTCCATTCGGTCGGGTTTGGAGGAAGCTACTGGTACTCTTCTACTAAACTGAACTTCACTCGACCTGTCAGGTAGAAGGTCCCTTGCGTGCTATGGGTCTCTGCCTGCAACATCGCTTTGCATGTCCATCATTGATCTAGTCTAGTCGGAGACGGACCGTCGCTGCAACTGGAAGTTTGGTTCAGGTTCCCTGGGGCGTGAGCTTCACCGATTGCCCCATGTTTGTGACCCTTCGATCTAACAGAATGTGGAATGTGGACTCGCCGGCTTGTGGATGCTGTTAGAGGGAGGAAAAAATCCTTCGGTTGACTTCCCTAACTTGGGCAACTGACGACTTTCCAACAATGTTTTCAAACCATTGACAAACGGAATTACCACTCTCCAGACAAATCCCGCAAAAAACTTATATTGGGCTCACTACATCCGCAATTAGATCCCCATATATCCGAGAGCGCCAACTCTGTGATGATAAGACGTATGCGCACTTGTTGTGCTCGACGAGTCCCAAGCGACTGTAAGCTAAGCCAGCATGAATCAGTCAAAGCAGTGCAGTCACTGCAGCCTGACGCGTCCCCTCGTATTGACTGCATCGCTCATCACCGTGACTTTCGGCTTACGTGCCAGAGACATAAGCTTACGTCGAATACGAGTCCGGGTAAGGCGTCCGATTTCACCGTTCAATCCGTCCGGATCATCCCAGCGATTTCCGAGCATCTCCCCAGTTTCAAGAGTCACTTGTCATGAGCGACGCCATTTTGTAGTTCGAATAATAGTCATTTGTTGCTTCCAAAATTGGTTTCTAGAGAGATGTCCGAGCTGTTTCGGACAAGGTCGTTCAACAGACCTATCTGATACGATGCTGGCTCTAGACTTCAGAAGTCTCAGTCTCAACAACCTGCGCTGCTGCAGTTGGAGTATATAGTTCGGCCAGGTTATACCGTTTCAACTGCTCATAATCGCTTCCTGCGACACCGATACCAATAACATTCTGTGGCATGGAATGTTAACCATGAGGACCTGAAGTGCATTTGTTTTCTCAAGGCTTACCTGGATAACCATGACGTTGATGAGTATATCATAGTTCTTGAGATCAACGGGGTGTTCAGTACCAACGACATCAGCAACTGTCTTAATCACTGTGTCCCTGTTGAACTTTTTGTTGCTTCTTACGACTGGCCGGATGGCGTACTGGAGATGTCATGGCTTAGTACGTTCTCGTGGGTTTCGGAGCGAGGGCCACTGCAGCAACAACAACAACAACGTACCTTCTTCGGAGGACCCCCAGAGTGAAAGGTAGATTTAAGGACCTCGCGCGCGAAAGACTCCAGTTCGACACTGAGAGTCTTGCGAACCGATTTGACAGGAGTCATGCGTTGAATGAACCGAGAGCGCTTCTTTTCGGGATGAGCGTGGGCATCAAGGCACAATTGATGTACCATCTGCTCTGGATCAATGGACTTGTCAAATCGAATGAACGATACTAGCAGAATCAGTAATTAGCGATATGAACGATTTCATATGGAGGTCAAACGCACGACATGGTAAGTCCATTCGAATTGCTTGGAACGGACGAGACTTGGCTTGGCTGGGCTTCAGCCCTTCGACCTCCTTTTTGATCATCGCCTCGATGTCATCTTCATCCGAGTCGGACTTGTCTCCATCGTCGACTTTCTCGGTCCCTTCGATGCTCTGAATGACAGAGCATGTTAGACAGTGTTCACGGCTCTCAGATGGGAGGGATGCCAGCCACAGAGAAGCGGGGAAGACCCCGCTCGACAGGGCCGGGATAACACGTACCTGTGTAAACAAATCCACAGCCTCCGACAGACACTTGGACTCTTTTCCGATGTCGCAACTCACAAAAACACCCCAGTCACCACCCTCGATCCCTGCTTTATTGCCTGGCTTGCGCCATTGACCACCACCACCACCCTAAGCTGTGCGTTAGATAGGAGATTAGGAAAATCATGAAGTCCATGGGCTGACTTTGGTGGCAATGTGTTCCAAGGGTGCGAACCTTTCTTTTCTTAGACGACTGAGCCGACATGTTATCAGGCATGGACCGTTTTCCCTTTCCAGCCATGCGCAGTTGTCAGACACTGGATTGTCGTCGGTGTTTCACGAAGGATCACTTTCGCCAACGAATCAAGCACCTTTCTAGAGATGGGATCAGTGCGGGAAGCGAGCCTTGGTCGCCGGAATTACGCGTGATAATGAGATTCTAGATGCATGCATCAACTTCTTGCCTGGAGAAAGCGATAAGCAGGAAAGATCAAGGCGGCGGGGCATCCAAAATTCCATTTTGGGACTAGCGCAGGGAGAGCAACAGCGAGATCGTCATTCCATTTCCGGCTCGAACCATTTACCATTCACTGGAAGGTGGAGTGATTGACGGCTTGTTCTCGGCCGGACGGGTCACTGCAACCACCTGGCAACGTGCGAGTATGTCCGTCCGTTTGTCGTACTTTACCATCGAACCACTGGACTTTCCGATCCGACATCGTGCCAGGGTCAACTGCATTCCCTATGGCTACAGCCCGCGGTCATGTCTCGGGTAGCCCGGCGTTTGAGCACCTGAGAGTGGATATGGATATGGATAGCACGGTACTTGTAGTCAAAAAGGTGGTAACACAAGAGTGAATTTCCAGCTAATAGCTATGCCCATTCAGCATGACATCACGCTATCTTCATGACGTACAACCAACCAACTCCAGAACTCTTCCACTACTATTTATGCTCCCCCTCTTCCGCGTAAACATTCAACCTTCCCTCTCATACACTGTTCATACCTTTTTCTCATATCTTCAATTACCTTCCAACTACTGTTCGTCTCGTTGGCTTTCGCGATGACAACTAACGAGATCGTCACCCGAGAGCTCAAGAAGCCTATCACTGTCGCTGAGTATCTCTTCCACCGTCTCCACGAGGTGGGGGTCCGCTCAGTGCACGGTGTTCCCGGTGAGCTGCCTACCACAAGCCTTGCTTCCTGCTCTCCTTCTAATCTCGTCGCACTTCCATAGGTGACTACAATCTCGCAGCTCTAGACTATCTGCCAAAGTGCGGTCTCAACTGGGTGGGTAATTGCAATGAGCTCAATGCTGGTACGGTTACTCTCCTGGAACTCGCACCTTCATCCTCTGTGGTGTCAGACTAACAAGGTTGCAGGTTACGCTGCGGATGGTTATGCCCGAGTCAATGGTATTAGTGCCTTGATCACTACCTTTGGAGTTGGCGAGCTGTCAGCCCTCAACGCCATTGCTGGCGCTTACTCTGAGTTCGTGCCTATCGTTCACATCGTGGGTCAGCCCAGCTCTCAATCCCAGAAAGATGGAATGTTGCTCCATCACACTCTCGGCAACGGCGACTTCGACGTCTTCACCAAGATGAACACCGGGGTCTCCTGCTCAATTGCCCGCCTGACCGAGACTCTTGAGGTCGCAACTCTGATTGACAACGCCATTCGCGAATGCTGGACCCGCAGTCGTCCCGTCTACATCACGCTGCCTACCGATATGATTACGAAGCAGGTTGAAGGCGAGAGACTCAACACGAAGCTGGACCTGTCCCTTCCCGCCAATGAAACCGAGAAGGAAGACTACGTGGTCGACGTTGTTTTGAAATACCTCCATGCCGCAAAGAAGCCCGTCATTCTGGTTGATGCCTGTGCTATTCGCCACCGTGTTCTCGATGAAGTTCACGATCTGATGGAGGCTTCTGGTCTGCCCACGTTCGTGGCACCAATGGGCAAGGGTGCCGTGGACGAGACGCGACCCAACTATGGAGGAGTCTACGCCGGAACGGGTTCGAACGCAGGTGTGCGCGAACAAGTCGAATCCTCGGATCTTATCTTGAGCATCGGTGCCATCAAGTCTGATTTCAACACCAGTGGATTCACGTACCGTATCGGACAGCTCAACACCATCGATTTCCACAGCAACTACGTGCGCGTGCGTTACTCCGAATACCCTAACATCAACATGAAGGGGGTCTTGCGCAAGGTCATCCAGAAGCTGGGTAAAGTGAATGCGGAGCCGGTTCCGCACCTCTCCAACGCACTGCCCGAGGAAGAGAAGACTTCTTCAGCCACCGAGATCACTCACCAGTGGTTGTGGCCCAAGGTCGGACAGTGGCTTAAGGAAAACGACATTGTCATCACCGAGACTGGTACGGCGAACTTCGGTATCTGGGAGACCCGATTCCCCGCCAATGTCACCGCTATCAGCCAAGTCCTTTGGGGCAGCATTGGATACTCGGTTGGCGCCTGCCAGGGTGCTGCTCTGGCGGCTAAAGAGCTTGGCAATCGTCGCACTGTCCTCTTCGTTGGCGATGGTAGTCTCCAGCTTACGGTGCAGGAGTTGAGCACCATGATCCGAAACAACCTCAACCCCATCATGTAAGCGTGCTTTTCAATCCAGCTGTTTGCTACGTAACACTGACAAGCCAACCAGTTTCGTCATCTGCAACAACGGCTACACCATTGAACGATACATCCACGGCTGGGACGAGAGCTACAACGACATTCAACCCTGGGATCACAAGGCTCTGCCGACCGTTTTCGGAGCCAAGGACAAGTATACCGGCCACAAGGTCACCACTCGCGACGAACTGAAGCAGCTCTTCGCGAACGAGGAATTCAACTCGGCTCCGCACTTGCAGGTAAGTCTTAATTCAAGTCCAAGATACCTTAATCCACCGCAATCACTGACCACACCCCACAGTTGGTTGAGCTTCACATGCCCAGGGATGATGCCCCCGCCGCGCTGAAGATCACCGCCGAAGCGGCTGCTGCGAGAAACAAGTAATGATTATGACCACGAACCGCCAATCGAGCAACTCGCCCGCCGTCTTTCCCGCTCCACGATCCGTTGGTTGCATTCCAAGTTGGAAAAGAAGTGACCTTATTTCGAGCAAAGCAGTTTCACGTGGCGTGACGAGACTGACCAAGATCCAGCCGATTCAAGGACCCAGTAGACACAGCCAATTGCATGCAGAAAGCTGTGGTTCCGTTACATCGAATTTTTCAATATGTATTTTAATGATAATGACAACAATCCACGATGAGTTAGTATTAGTTTCTCCATTGTAAAGGTTACGTTGTAGATGGTGGGCTTCTATCACAGTTTGGATAACAGTTGAAGAACCCTTTGGGTGGTGACTTATCGGGAGACGGCGTTCCAAGTTGTTCGAGAATCACCAAAATCAGTTTTTAAGTTTGTAGTCCGGTCCAGATCTCCGCGGCCATCCCGCATCTACGCATATTTCGTCCGGAGAGATGCCTGAACCATACTTCTTTAAAAGCCGAACCTGACCGAATCTCCTTGCATTCTTGTCTTTTAATAAAGAAAATGCGGGCTAGAACAGCCTGATCAAGTGTCCGGATCCCCCGCTTTGTATAACATCTCCCAAGGTTGTGGTGACGTTGTTGGTCGTATTCCGTCTTACAAGCAGGGCATTACGAGCGCTATGGGCATCATACATTGATTAAAGATCCTTTGTACAGTACCGTCCCCCGCAATTACGCATTCAGCCGAGAAGGGGAAAAGAGAAGGTCTAGGCTACCATGTCAATGGGATATAAGCAGAACGTAGAGATTGCCCCTCACCTCACCACTCTGTCAGCCTCTTCGCGCGCATCAATCACCTCACCTACTGCTTTGCTGCACTGATACAAGCACCGTACTGCGAATTCCAGTCTTCTGGATTCAGGCACACAGCGTAAGACCAAAAATGGGCGTCAGCACGAACCGCAACATTATCATCGTAGGCGTCGGCTCCTCCATGTCCCGATCGCTGGCCATGTGGCTCGCCAGTCTCGGGTGGAACATCGCCCTGATCTCCCGCTCGGAGAGGAGCCTGGCCGCCATCGCCGAGGAGGTCCGCTACGCGGGCCCGGACAAGCACGTCGTCACCGTGGTCCACCACACCGCGGACGCCGGCGACCCGGCCAGCTTGACCGCCGCTCTGGACTGGTGTCTGCACCAGCTCGGGGGGACCCTCGACGTCCTCAGCTACAACGCCGCGCGGGTGGCGGACTCCTCCATCGCGACCCTCACGCCCGAGGAGCTGGAGCTGGATTTCCGCGTCTCCGCGATCGGGACCCTGGTCGCCGGCCAGTGGTTCCGGGGACATGCCCGGGCGGAGGGTGTCTCGCAGGGCGAGTGGCCCTTGTTCCTGGTCACCGGCGGTGTCCTGGACAAGCACCCGGACCCGAGCGTGGCTTCGTTGAGTATCGCCAAGGCCGCCTCCCAGACTGTCAGTCGGATCTTCGCGCAGGTCCTGCCGCGGGATTCGCGGATCTTGGTGGGCATGCCGCTGGTGACGGGTCGCACGGTTGACCCTGCCACCGGAGAGTATTATGAGCAGTATCGTCCCGATAAGATCATTCAGGCGCTCTTCCGGCCGTTCTTCGAGGAGAGAGAGCAGAGGCCGGATGGGTCAGAAGGCTGGGTGGTGGAACGGCATCTGTGATCGCAGACGTGCTCCCGAGTCTGGAAGAGGATAGCCCCAGGAGAATGGGAGTTCGGTCAGGCTGGCCAGAGGAAGAGGTCAAACCCATCCCAAACAGTGCTTGGGGTGGGTTTCGACGTGAGACATGAGAACGCCTGGAGTCAGACATTTCATTACAAGTGTCACTAGTCAAGAATGAGATTTGCCGTCTTGAGTTACACCGCAATTGCCGGCTAGTGTTAAGTTAGCCAACGCTAGTTCTTCATGGCGTGGATAGTTGATCCCTGGAGCCAACGTGGAAGGTAGTATTGAAGGTGTTGAAAGGGGGAAGCGCATAAAATGAGCGTCTGAAACTTGTATAGTTCTAGCAATCATCCGTGGGATGGCTCTAACTCTTTTCGGGCAGCCTGGCTTGGAGTGACCGGATTACGTGATCGATCTCGCTGTCATGTTGTTTCACCAATTCGATTTGACAGTGTCTCATCGACAAGGGCCCCAGATCCAGATGTCAGGACTCGGCAGCTGAACAGAAGGCATTCTGGGAGTCAATGCCAAGACTCAAGGAATGTTGGCTGGGGAATGCAGAGAATGAGAATGATGAACCAGGCAAAGTACGGAGACTGCGACAGCTTATCGGACCACCACGTGATCGAGATGGGACGTTGAAGGGGCGCTAAGGCGGCCAGCGCATCAAAGCTCCTCTTCTACGAAGCCTGGGCCGGGCCTGATTTACCCCATCGTGAATGGCAAGCAGGCTCTCTGGCTTGCTGAGGAAAGACATTTCATTTATCTCAAGGAACCATTCTAATGAGCAACTAGTGGTTTTTAATTTAAACGTGGGAAACTAATCTCTTTCAAAATTGCTAGTGGTATGTTTTTTAGCTTCCCGCGCCAATCTTCCGCGGCATCGTCCTTTCTCCCCCCCTCCTCCCCCTTCAACTAATGACAGACCTATCATCAGGGGGGCGGATCATCGCAATTTTTCCAATTTCCTGGAGCTGTCGCTTAATTCTAACTTCTTCATCTTTCTTAAAATATAGTTATCTTTTCCCACACAAGGATCGTGCTGTCTACTCGACTCACAACAACAACAACGTGCGCACGATTCTGCCCGCCCGCCCGCAACCTCACGAGATTCGATCTATCGAAGCCGATGGCCGCAGATACCTGCCGATTCTGCTTACGTACCCGATTTGGAGGCTAGCTAGCTGCGCATGATTACAATCGTGCATCGAGATACCTCGCGTCCGTCTCCTTTATCTGCCCTCCCCTGAATACCTCGCCAGTACTTCGTGTTCCCTGTGCGACCTGGTCGAATTCGCTTAGGGTCATTACCGGGCTTTCTGGGAACATTGAGAATGCGGACTTTCCTTCATCATTGATCGCTGATGGTCTATATTTCTCGGCCTCAGTGACGTGCATAATCTCGCTTTCTCAGAGAGGGGCTTCCGAACAAGTAGTAGAACTTCTTAGAATTCTCTGTGCAGACTATCTGCGATTCGGCATCCGATCAAGATCGCTTCTTCGCGACGGTGATACCCAAGCACCGTCAAGATGGATGGCCAACGGCAGCAGCAATACATCCCGGTCCCTCCTCCTTCGGCGACGCAGCCCTCGCAGGCGCATATGATACCTCTACCGCCACCGCCGCCTCGATACGCCCCAACCCAATCCCAGAATGTCATGCCTCCTCCGCCCCCTGGGCCACCTCCTGGAGCAGGATACGGAGCATCCAAACTCACCAATCCTCAGCTGCAACACCAAAATACGTTAGGCTGGCAGCAACAGACCTGGGCCAGGCAGGCACTATCCCAAGGTTTCTTACCTCCCCCGCCGCCTCCTCCTATGGTCCCTACAAATCAATCGCCCTACGGTCGTCCCACTGCCCTCTCGATACCTTCCTCTTCTGATACCCGAACCTCTGCAACTTACGTCCCGCAACCGGGCTCCTTCGGACCGGGGGTCGGAATACCGCCGTTTGACGTGCACTCTGCTCCGACCTACGAGAATCCAGGAACCATGCCATCTGTCGAACGACAGCGACTCCCCTCCGCCCAGACGTATGAATATCCCATCGGGGAGTCATCCACATACAAACGGGACCCAAATGTACCTTCCACACCGTCTTCGCGTACTCTCCCTTCGGCATTAGCAGTCAATGACGGCTCTCACGAACCAATGGCGTCGGGATTTCCGGCCACAGCCTCCCAGAATCAAGTACTGCAGCCTGCGCCGACTAATGAACTTACGAAGTCGCCTAGTCATCGTCACAATAATAGCAGCACTCTGCTCGGGGGCATGTCTCCCAACGAAGCGGCCGTTCAATGGCCACTCGACCGAGTTCTCCTATGGCTTGCGAGAAATGGCTTTTCGAAGGACTGGCAAGAAACCTTTAGGGCACTAGAAATCGAGGGCGCCGACTTCCTGGAGTTGGGACATGGCTCCAATGGCCGGCCGAACCTGGGTAAGATGCACAACGTCGTTTATCCTCAACTCGCAAAGGAATGCGAATTGAGCGGCACGGGCTGGGATCAGACTCGCGAACGCGAGGAGGGTAAACGCATGCGAAAATTGATTCGCCAAATCCACGAGGATGGCAGCTATGATGCGGACTATTTGATGCAGAGGCGTCGAGATTCTCATCCCAACGCTATTTTTGACGGAGGGCACGAAGCCTCCCCGAAGGTGACCCATGAGCCCCGCTCGGCCGGCCCATTCTCAGGTAGTGTCGCAAACAGTCCCAAATTCAAGGTATCCCAGCTGGTCCACAATCAGAGGCAGAGTACACAGATGCGCTCTTTCACCACGCCCATACCCGCCAGCCATGACCCCACGTCATCCGAACTCGGTAATAACGAGACCGGCACTATGTGGCCGCGGTCAGACTATTCTAGGGCGGTTCTGTCTAGCATCGGTGGGGAACACCAAAGGCAGAGTCCTTCAATGTCCAGCGATGGTGGGACTTTCCAAGCTCCCATTCGGCCCTATGAGGACAGCCCTAAGAGCGGCAGTCCGGCAACACAGCATGCCACCCTTGCGCAAACGGGGCCATCCTCATCGACTGGTGATTTGAGTGTCAAATTCGAACACTCTCGTGGGAACAGCGCAGACTCCCTAACTGGGCGTCGGTATTATGAGTCTTACAGACAGGACAACGGAGTACGCCCTTCTCCCCAGGAATCCTATAATCGCCACTCTGGCGGAGAGACCCCCTCATCATACCCGAAGGATCACCGAACCGGTCTTCTGAACTTTTTCAAGAAGCGAACCAAAGGAAGTGACTCCACTCACCCTTCTCCTGAAGAACAGTTTCTCGAGTCGCCAACGAGCCCTGTCAATACACGCCAGAATGGTGCCCACCTCCCTTATGCAAAGCCAAACTTTAGCACTAGCGATATGTCGCTGGGTGAACGCCCATCGTCTGCATCCATGTCGGATCATGAACGCCTGGTCTTGCGCCAGAAAACGCAAAAAGCCAAGAAGTGGACTTTCGTTACTCTGGATGGCTGGAATTATCGGTTGGTGGATATCACTGAAATGGATTCTGTTGAGACGCTGCGTTCTGCAATCTGTCAGAGCCTTGGAATATCAGACTGGACTGCGGCCCAGATCTTCTTGACCGAGCCCGGCCAAACGGAACATGACGAACCTTTGAACGACACCAATCTGGCTCTATGTCGGAGGTCGAGGTCGGACTTTTTGGGCTCACTCAAATTATTCGTACGTGGATCGCACATGCAACTGGCTACCAATGGCTTCCCTCACTTTGCGGGGCTGGGAGTTTCTATCCCAGACAAAGCGACTGCTTCACCAACGTCTGCCCATCAAGTGCATAGAAAGCCACTGGATGAAGATGCCTTGAACAGGATCTCACCTCAGACTCAAAATAAGCCTACCTCACCACAAGTAGCTTCTTCACGGCAACAGCTGAAGGTGTCCTCTGCGAAACTTCCGCGTGACGTGTCGCAAGCTTCTATTGCAGCTTCTCCCGTGGACCATGCTGCGGACGGTGGAACAGCTGACGCTGAAAAGGCGGATTTGTTAGCTCGTCATGAGGAGCATATGCGCGAGGTCGAGCGGAAACAGCGAGCCTATCGCATCTCGAAGGTCCCGCCTATGCCGCAACCGAGGAAGGATGCCTACGGCGAAACCGGCTATAGGCGCGAAGGCGTCATTGATTTTGACTCTCCCCGCATATCGCCTTATGAAGACAAGAAATCCGAACCATTGGTGCCACTCCGCAAACCCCCGACTGCACCACATGAGTCAAGTACCCTCACGAAGGTTAATTCTCTAAGGAAACGGGACATTGATCGTCCTCGTGTTCAAGTTCCTGCGCAGTCACACGGTCTTGGAGCCGCTCTAGCTAGTGTTGGTAGAATCACTAGCGCTATTGGAACACCCATGCCATCAGTACCACCAGCAGCGGGCTCTTTCAGCCCAACTATGAATGTGGGAAGCAGTCCCGCCACAAATCATTCAGGTAAGCCCTTTTGGTGCCTTTGTACGGCAACCTTCCAGATGACGACGTATATGTGATTCTGTCGCTGACATCTAGCAATAGACGAGGTGAAGGGAACATACCAGGATAGTCAAGCCACACCAACGGCACACAGTGTGCCGTCACCAACCAAGGGCAACACTTCGCCCCCCGAACCCAGGCCGGGTCTGCAGTCCCGTAAATCCTACGGACCTGAATTCGACTTCGAGGAAACCAAAGTTTCATTCCAGCGCTCGCCCTTGCCACAGGATGATTCTGACGATGACTCCGATGATGGTCTCTTTGCCATACCATTGGCAAACACCAAATCACCTGTGACGGAGAAAGGGTCAATGACCAGCTCACCCGAATCGCAAAAGAGAGCGGCAAAGCCGTCTCTTACCTTGAACACCGAAAATAGACTACGCAAAGGACTCTCTGTGAGCTTTCGGTCTCCGAGTGCTACCCGTGACACTTTCTTAGCGTCTAGCGGCGACTCAAGCGCTCCGGAAGCATATCACTCTGATATGACTGCTTCGCCGGAAGATGAACGGCCCCCACGCAGAGATTCGTTTGCCCGAGGCGACATCTGGGCCAGCAGACCTCCTGTCGAGGGCGTTATCGATCATCTCGATGACTTCTTCCCTGACATTGACCTTGACACTCCTTATCTGGATGGACAGGGCATGTCCCCACCATCATCACCAGCAAGCAAGATGGCAGCGGAGAACGAATTGAGCCACGAGGAAAAACCAGACGGTCCGTCTTACGCCATTCCACATCCTTCGGCCCCTGTCAACATTCCCAGCGAACCACCTGTCAGGCCCCCGGAGCCAGGTGCTGTTGCGCGGCGGAATGTAAGCCGCTCTGGGGGTGGACTTACTCGAATGAAGTCTATTCGAGAAGTGGCTAAGGGAGCCAACCGAGCTAGCAGGAACAAAAGTGTGACCTCCTCCACCGGCAATCAACGATCGGGTGACATTCTTCGTCGCAAGAGCACCAAGATGTTCGGCGCCAAGATTATGCAGATCAGCCCGAAGCCTGGCAGCCGGTTGAGCCAGCTTGATCCTATTCCCCAAACTCATGCACCCTCTGGGAATATCCCTCAACGGCAGCCCACCTTCCGGATCATTCGCGGTCAGTTGATCGGCAAGGGAACCTACGGCCGAGTGTATCTCGGCATGAATGCCGATAATGGTGAGGTCTTGGCTGTGAAGCAGGTGGAGGTCAATCCTCGCATCGCAGGGCAAGATACGGACCGAATCAAGGAGATGGTCGCTGCGATGGACCAAGAGATCGATACCATGCAGCACCTGGAACATCCGAACATTGTGCAGTATCTCGGTTGCGAACGAGGCGATCTATCTATCTCCATCTACCTCGAGTATATTTCTGGTGGCTCCATTGGCAGCTGTCTCCGAAAGCATGGTAAATTCGAAGAGAGTGTGGTCAAGTCTCTCACGCATCAGACGTTGAGCGGGCTGGCATACCTTCATGACCAGGGCATTCTACACCGTGACCTGAAGGCCGACAACATCCTTCTTGATCTTGACGGAACATGCAAGATCTCCGACTTTGGCATCTCGAAGAAGACGGACAACATATATGGCAACGATTCGACGAATTCCATGCAAGGGTCAGTATTCTGGATGGCGCCTGAAGTCATTCAGTCCCAAGGCATGGGGTACAGTGCCAAAGTGGATATTTGGTCCCTTGGCTGTGTGGTGTTGGAAATGTTCGCTGGCCGCCGGCCATGGAGTAAGGAAGAGGCGATTGGTGCCATTTTCAAACTGGGTAGTCTGAGTCAGGCACCTCCTATCCCGGAGGACGTATCCATGAACATCAGTCCCGCCGCGCTCGCCTTTATGTACGACTGCTTTACTGTGTGAGTTTTTTTCCTCTCATCCTATTTGCTTTCGTATTGATATGCTAATATGACTCTCAACCAGGGATTCCCTCGATCGTCCCACGGCGGAGACTCTTCTGACTCGTCATCCATTCTGCGAGCCTGATCCCAAGTACAACTTTCTCGACACGGAACTCTATGCCAAGATCCGGCATGTCCTTTGAAAGGGAACCAAAACACCAAAAAGCAATGTAGTAGTGTACAGTCCGTCCCCACTTTAGCGTGTTATCATTAGCCCGTTAGCCCTTGTCCCCTGCATTGTACTTTTCTTCTTGTGCTCATACCCCCCTCTTCCGCTTTCGTAATTTGGACTTTGCGACATAATGTGCGTACATTTTAGTGAGGAAGGTGTTGTTAAGTGTGCAGACCACTCTGTCGAATGTTCTTTTCATCCATTGTGTACATATATATCTTGAGGATGCAGACCACAAGGTCGCAAGGTATAGCAGACTTTACTGTCAGTATATCAGTCCGCCTGAAATATTCTCCGCAGCCTACTACTGCTGCTGCTGCTGGAGGACAAGACCAGACCTCCGCCACAGTCTCGCCGTAGAATTCATGGTTACCCGGCACGAGAAGGACTCGCATGAAGCGGGCAGTTTGTTTCTAGCAGGAAGGCACGGTAGAGCCCGTACTCAGTCGCCGGTCCGGAGGAGGTTCTCCGCTGATGCTGGGAAGTCTAGGTTAGGTACTGCTGGCTGACTTCCTGGAGATCGGAGAGGATTTGGGATGTGGTGGTGGGTTTGAGATTGCTTGTTGGCGGGTGAAACAGTGAGCGGGATTCTTGTATTTCTTTGGAGAGTATTGTGCTAATCTATACTGCTGTTGGGGGTGTGTATAGTTGTCTGATGTGTAGATCACGTGCTCTGTAGCTTATTGGAACCGCTCCGTTTCTCTGTTAGTATCAACTAGCTGCACTCGCTGTGTTTCCGCTCACGTAGGCTCATGGAAATGAGTCTCTTTGCCAGGTCTCGCGCTGGTGACAAGAGGAAGTGTGGATTTGATGTTACTATGTTATCCAAGTGGCGCATGTGAGTGTCTTTGTCAATGAAATGAACATGTCTAATCTCTTGCAGGGTGTTGGGAGCCATGGCTGCGAGACCGTCTTATGCCAGGTTGATGTGGGCTGTCTGTCTCTGGATGCAGCCCTCGGATGCCAGGTCTAATCACCTGGCTGAGCTCTACATCTCTGGGAGCATGCCTTCCTAACCTTTCTGCGTGCAGCAGACTTAATCATGGATGACTGAAAGACCAAGTGCACCACAGAGCAGCTATGAATGGGCTGCACTAAGGGGCAGACCTCAGAGCGGTCCTAGGGACTGACCCGCAAGGTCAAAGAGTGGCAGCCTTCACAGGGGACTGAATTTGCAACACGCTGAGGCAGCGCAACCTGGGGCTAGGAATTGCGGAGAATGCCGAGCGCTGAGGCGTTGTGAGCTCTTATGCGCCAGCGACTGAGTTGCCCTTTGTTTCCACGACGATGTTGCTCCTATCTCTCACTTACACAAGCACATATACACATTCTCTCTCACACACACACTCTCTCTCTTCTCTGACTTGTATCTTGTCTTTACAAGTCTTCAGTCTTTGACCTTGGCACTGCTCTGAGCACGAGCATCTACTGTGAAGAACCCGGTCATCCAGCAGATACATTGCATACCGCATCCCACACACCTCACCGTAAGTAACACGCTGCACAGCTGATAGCAGACAGCCTCACATACTGAGAGTAGTGCCGGACACCAGCAACTCTTCTCCCAGACAAGCCAAGCTCAGCCCTTGGACCAGGAGACGCAGACCCGTCTCTCTCTCTAACCCTCTATCCCAAAGGTACAACCTCGTCGTCGACACCAGCACCATGCGTCAGGAGCGTCTCAACGACGCCGCGATAGCCCTCCACACGGCCCTGTCCAGCGCGGGCGTCAAATACGGCCATTTCGGCGGCTACGCCTGCACCCTGCTCGGCAGCCGACGCGAGACGAGCGACATCGACTGCCTGGTGTCCGCGACCAAGCCCGAGATCCTCGCTCTGGTGGACGGCGTCAGCAACTTCACCGTGATCCCCCGCAACCGCGAGGACTACGTCGCTCTGGTCTGGAGTGACAGCGCCAACCAGGGCGAACCGGTGCTGATCGAGATCTTCTGCGAGCGCTTCCGAGGTAAGTCCCCCCTGCGAGAAAAACACCCCCCATCCCCAATGCTAGCTAACCCCCTAAACCCTAGGCTCGCACTACACCATGTGCCACTGCTACCCACGCCTCACCCTCGTGCGCGGCGAACGCATGGGCGTGGGCCTGGTGCAGCACCTGCCGGCCTTCGCCATCTTCAAGGGCAAGCTGCGCGCGGCCGCCACCCGCAGCGAGCCCCACGACGTCTTCGACCTGTGGTGGCTGGCCGGCCGCTTCCAGACGGTCTACAACCACGCCCGCCTCCTCAACCTCGACTACGTCGGCTTCGCCATCAAGCGCTACCCGGGGCTGGAGCTGCTGTTCTTCCTGCTGGGGCTGGACGTCGTCGCCGCCGCCGCGCGCGTGCAGGACGTCGAGCTCAACCAGCTTCCGCTGTCGGGACCGGGGGATATCCAGCGTGGACTGTTGCTTTGAGGAAGTCGCGTGTGGAAAGCAACTGATGGTCTGTTTTCTTTCGTGGGTTTGTGTGGTCTAGCGGTTGGAAGCTGAGGTGTAATTCCACGGATGGGTGAGACGTTGGGATTCAGGAGACATGTATCTATGTGCATTTGAGGCGCTGCTTTTCTCCGATGAACAGGACATCAATGAAAGACTAATGCAACCCTCCTGAAACATATCTTTCTCTGTTAGAGGTCCTGGTTAAACGATAACTACTAAGGTCATGTATAGTATCTTGAAAGAGATCTTTCCAGACATCTGTGCCCACACAGCGTACGCTATACCGTTAATGGCGAGTTCCATGTCTACCATGTAAACAAGTCCAGTACTCTAACATGCTGTGCAAGGAGTCAACAAAGTAAACAGCATAGCTACAATTCTTCCCTCCGCGATGCCTGACGACCTTCAGGTACATAGCTAGTGGAAGTAGTGATATCAGGCTCCCTTCTGCCAGCGCTAAGCCGCTGAGCGGCAGTTACAGCACGCACCCTAGCGTGCTACCTTAAATCTAGCTGTGAATCAAATGGTAAAGCTATATGTGTATCCGCGGTGTTAGTATAGCCCAAGTAAAAGCCATAGATATAGTCATTCTAATCCAACCCTTCATGATTTGTTTACCGGTATAATCGGCATCCCTTCATATACCCAGACTACCCAGCTTGACCTTCGAAACCACATCTTACGATACTCTCATTGACGAATGGAGCAACCTGACTGCGCCTGACATTCCCAGCCATCCAAGAAAACACGATCACATGAATCCCGGTTTCCAGGGTAGCCCGCGTCAACCCCTCTGTTCTTTTCTAGTCATCCTAGAGTTCTCTAAAATCATGCTACTTGGCTTCGACAAGAAGTCCTACTCTTCATGGCAAGCCATAAAATATATGGAGAATGAGGCGTCGAGCTTTGTAGGAGTATCCGAGCCGGTATTTAAGCCCAGAACCCTACAGGTATAATTGTTACGCTTTACCGAAGCACCAAGGTGGATGAGATCCTCTCGAAACAATTGGAGGAGTCTTCATAATCCTAGCTGATAAAAGCTTCAAGGTAGAAGTCTCCAACGTGGATAGGCTACTGCGTACAAGCGGCTTGATTTCCATCCATCCCAAAGAGATAAACGATCGAGTGGCATGCTGTGTTCAGTTTGCGATGATCACTCTAGGTGTATTGTGGCAGATAGCCCGCAATACATGGTTTTCTAATTAGTCTAATCTACCTCAGAATCTCGGGGAAATATACCTACATACATCCATCCTTCCCTGCGTCGTCGGTTCTAACGCACACATCTAGACATATATATATATGATTGTATAAATCTATCTTTAATATCATGCATATGTGATACACACCACGAACGAAAGGAATGGAGCTCAACCCATGTTCAAGCAGACCCAAACACAAAAAAAGGCATTAAACCATCAACTCAGTAATCCGGCCTCCAGGTGATCGCCAATTCAATCTGATGATCCTCCTGAGAGGCGAAGACCTTGCTTTTCGTGGGCCCCTTGGGAGCCTTGTCGGCGAAGAAAGTGGAGTTGCCGTTGTATGCGAGCTTGCCATCGTCGATCTGGAGATGTAAAGTTTGTACAGTGTCAGTGAACCTATGACTCGAACACCATTGTGTGATTTGAAGGTTGTGTAGGGGCGGGGAGCGGGATATCTCGGGCGAAAAGAAGGGGAAGGATGTGTGCTTACGCTGAATTCCTGTGCTTTGTGCACGGCACCACCGCAGGTGAAGATGTCCTTGGCAAAGCCGCAGTTGCCCTTGCTGGAGTGGAGGGTAAAGAGATCATCTAATCCAAATTCTCTGTTCAATAAATTGCTCTGCCAGATGATGAAACAGAAAAGTCTTGAGCGTGGAAAGGGAAGGGAGTGGTGTACCTGACGTCTTCTTCGCAGTAAAGGTTGCACACGTGCCCGAGGAGAACCACGCCCCGCGGCTGATAATACACCCTCTCTTCTGGCCCATTGTTGAGATCATCAGGTTGCCCCGGCCCTGAAAAGGGGCACCCGGGGGCGAGGTGGGCTCCGAGGGATTGTGAGTGGTTGTTTTCGTGGGCTCGTGGCCGTGGTGTGGGGTTTTAGGCTGATAGCGGATGCCACTGGCCGGGCAGTTGGAGATTTGTCCGTCTGATTTAGATTGTAGTCTGTTTAGTATGGAAGTGATCCTAAAGCGAAGCAAGGGGATGTGGCATGCGCGAGGCGGGGAGAGGTCGCGGCGTGCTGCTGGATGCTCACCTGGGTCCGATGGAACGAACTTCCCCGATACAAGAGGGCCTGCGACGTTGAAGTAGTACCATACTTCGTTCAGAGACCCATGACGACAACGGATTGTGACCTCTGCGCCGTGCGACTGTGACAGCACATCTTCAATTTCGCGACGGGTGTAGGTTTTCGTGTAGGAGGGGAGGATGTTGGCTTTGGCTAGGGTCTGTAGTTCCGGCTCGTCAGTGTGTGGTGTTTAGATTGGTGGGGTGAGCCGCTCACCTCATAGGTAGGTAGCTCTCGGTACAGATCGGCGGTCTTATCGAAGTAGTCGACAACCTCCTGCTGAGGAGTATACTCCGTGTAGCAGTGTGTCTCAAGGCTGCTCACGCAGGTACCGTGCTTATTCCACTCGTGTTCCCAGAGGTTCGGGTCGTCGCCGCGAAAGTCTTTCCAGTATGTGCTCATGTAGTCGAGCAAGTCTCCACGACCGGCATCCACCAAGATCAGCGAGATGTTGCTATACCTCCGCTTCGAGTCACAGTACTGGTCGAATCCGCCGTTGCAGTGGTCCGGCCTATGTAGGAGAAGAGGGGGGTATGGGTCAGTCCGGCAGGTTATTGAAATGTTGAATAACAGAATCACAGGCTCTCGCAATCGTTTGATAATTAGAGAAGTAACTCACCAGAGGCCATGGATTGTCCAGGCAGTCTCCGGTCCAATGGCGGGGTCAGCATCCCAGAATTGCGTCTGTAGCATCTGACCCCCTGGGTAGTTGAAGCAGCAGGTATCCTGGCCATGGTACCGTGTCTTACAGCTCAATTCGGCAGCCGGGCAATGCTGAAATGTGGACTCTGAGGTCGAGTAATCTGATCCCGAGAGAGAGGAGACCCCGAGTGTGCCCGTGATGGCTTTCAGGACCTGCTGGGGTCCGGGGAGACGCTGCAGGAGCGTATCTCTCATAGAGCTGGCGGTGGACCCGATAGCTCGGGTGCTGCTATCGGAGATAAACATTGGCTGTGCTGAGGCACTTGACTAGGCCTCGAGACGGTACTAAAGTTGCTCAACACTAAGTATGAGAGTAAGGGAATCGGTAAGAATAAAGGATAAGAATGCAATGCAGAGAGGACAAAAGGAGCAGAAGTCAATAATGAGGCGAGGCGAAGGAGACTCGAAGCTCCCCCCGGGTTCTGCACGTGCTTGTACCCCATGACCTCTGACTGGTCACTCCGCCGCCGATCCTCCGATAAGAGTTCGGGTTTCTTATCGCGCCGGTCACCTGATAACACTTCATGATAAGGTTGGTCGCGGGCGACCGTACTATGTGCCAAGAAAGAGTATGACTATTTACAACTTCACCTGCCCCTCAATCTATTGATTCTGCAGTGAGCCGAGGCTCCCTGTCTGACTTGAAGTATTTCCATCACCAACAGCATCATCGTCATCATTTACCCCCGAGATACCCACTCGAAAGACACTCTCACACCACTCCGCAAAAGTATCCACATCCCAGACATCGTCCTCACGTCCCTTCCCCTTCCCCTTCCCTCTCGCTCCTGCAGCCATTGACCCGCTTCGTCTCTCCTCGGCGACAAACCTCTCCCAAAACTCCTCGTAAATCTGGATTACCCGATCTTGAACCGCCCCTACCAACGTCTCCCGCATCCGCAGATCATCCAGGTACTCCCCCAACACGCGCCTCAGTCCCAGCACCTCAGTTTCGATGTTCCGACACGTCGGATAGATCCACTCCGCCGCCGCCTGTCTCTGAGCGGTGGCGGTGGCCACGAACTTCGCAGGCAGTGATGCGGTCATTGTGCCGGCAAATCCATTGATGAAGTCGTTGATCACGGTCCGGAGACGGCCATCCAATTCGACTTTCGCATCTAACATGTTCTCGACCACGCGGGGCAGGAGGCCATGGCCGACCAGGCGGACGAGATTGCGTGGGTTGAAGAGGCCGCCGCGCTCTTCGCGAAGCTCCCAGAAGGTGTGTGTTAGACCAGAGAAGTCTAAAGAGGTTTCCGGGGCGACATATTCGATGTCGAAGGCGACAATTTGTTGTTTAAGGATGAGGAGATGACTCATTAGGAAGAGTTGGCGGTGGGTCTCTAGACGAGTTGGGGGAGTAGGAGTTGCGGGTTTGGGATTGGTTGTAGTAGTTGAGGGGGGGATGAGAGTGCTAGCGTAGTGGAGGGAGAGGGTGGTTTGGTGGACGATTTGATGGGCGAGATCGTCGAAGACAGTCGACTGTACATTTATGAGTAGGTTGGCCTTGACGATTCCTAAAGAACGAGGACTTACATTGACAAGCCGGTAAATGCGGCTCAGGAGCCAGATGGCTTTACGGAGAGTCGGATACCACCCACTAAAGGCATTTGGAGTCTCAAGATCCCACTTCGCATCCGGGTCTGCATCTGTGCTATCTTCGATGTGTTTCGTGGGCTTTTGGATGTTGACAATGGGCTCGGAAGCAATCTTGCGGCCGGAGATTTGGCCCTCCGTGACCGAGATTGAGAATTGCCGGTTGCGTGCTGGATAATCCAGGTCTTCGGGACGGGGCTTGTACCGTTCGATCTCGTCGCGGAGGAAAGCCTGAGCACGGAAGACGAGGCGAGTTTGAACGTCTTCCAGAGCAGGTTGAATTAAAGTGGTGAAGTCGAGTTGATTGGCGTCCAGAGGTTGCTCCAACTCCTCATCCTGATCGAATAGGTATCGGGTTTGCAGCAGCGTGCAAAGCTGGCAAAGCTTGACTATCTTGTCCTCATGAATGATCCTGGGCTGGAGGTGATCATACAAAGGTTCGCAGATGGTTTCGAGAAAGTCATAGAGCTCACCCTGACCATGGAACCACTCCCCCCATAGTTCAAACTCGTCCAAGCAGACCCCGCGGATGTAGCTAATGCTCGCACGAGCGAAAGAAACCAGGTCCTGTGACGAGGTAGGCGACTGCGCGATGTCGCTGAGGTTTTTGCGGACCAGCGGAATCATCAGTTTCCCGCGAGTCGCTGCATAGTTGGCGTGAAGCTCGTTGAGAAGGCTCTGATATTCAGCTTCCGTGCCTTGGTCGGGGTCCAACGGAGGCACGGCACGTTTCTGGATCTCGAGGCCAATTTGTTTCAGCTCCGGTGCGCCGACCCGGAACTTCGCATACAGCAAGGTGGACATCGTTGTCTCATTGAGCTGTTTGTCGGCAATCTTCCTGGAGGCATCGGCATAAATATCGCGCAGAGAAGTGACAAAGTGTGTTCGAATGAGAGTGAGGGCTCGAGTCATCAGGAGTCGATACCTGGAGCGGTACACGCTGGCCTCTTTTTGCTCGGTCTGGACAAGCAATACTGATTAATGCGGTGATATAGCAAGACCATGACGCCATATGTACTCACATGTATCTCCATGTAGTCCAAGCACTCATCGAGTCGTCTGAGCATATCTGAGAACTCTTGCCCGCGCACAGTATTTCCAGCACCCGGAGCGTTAAGCCGCCTTGAAGCGGGATCGAGAAATTCATAGTACTGCAGATTATCCTGGATGTCCGTAGCGAGTTCCAGATCGTGCTTCTGCGCGGAGAGAAGCCCTTCGCACTGCTTCTGGAAATTGGACGTCTGCGACTCCACGGCTTTGAAGTCATTGGACAGGTTCGTGAGAAGATTAAGGGTCGATGATGTATCCGATAACAAGGAATCTAGGTGGGTCTTGGACAACTGGAGCTCCTGTAAACATGCTCTGAAAGAAAGACAAGTCAGCATGTATCAGGGGCTTTGTCGGCGGCGGCTTGTTGCGCGACTTACTGATACTCATCGTAGCTGGCTTCAAGCAGACTACCCTCAATATCGGTATACCATTGCGCGAATTCCAGCTCATTCTTAATGTCGGTGAAAGATTCCAGACCATCCGGAATGGTCTCGTGCTCATCAATCACCTTGGCCTTAATATCCACCGGCGGTCCAGACGGGGCAGTCTGGCGACGACTTCGCTGACCCGCAGCTTGTTGGCGCATTGTCTCTCACGAGATGAGACTGCTCAGAGATGTATAACTGTCCTGGTGCCTGGTTCTAGGCCCTCAATTCAAGCAGCAGGCAGTCCGGTCAGCACCCCGCGAGCCGTTTCGCACATAGTGGTTGTAAACACGCCGCAACCTCCGTGGCTTCAATGCGCCGCTATTCTGCCGCCACCTTCCGCTTACGGTATCTGACGCAACGACCATTCACAATTAATCTTTTGGAGATTTGCCTTTGAGCTCTTACCATAAGCACAGACCAGTCAATCCGAGCAACCTTGACTGTATGAACCTATTCTAGGTGTTTTGAACATCATGTGGACACCTCGGGGACGGCAATCGGCGACCAGCCTCGCCATTCAAGCTTCTCGCCGCCTAGCGAGGAACAGTCGAGCTGTTGGAGCTCCTTGGCGGCGATTTTATGCCAGCAGTGGCGACAACCAGGGATCTTCCTCTCACTGGTTTCGGAACTCGCTGGGTGTGGCAACCTTAGGTACTGCTGGATACCTGGGCTATGAGTACGCCACGTCCAAGGGCAATGAACTTGAGACCCCAGTAGAACAAGTGAAGGATCTCACAAACGCCACCCAGGACTTCGGCTCGCAATTTGCGCAGAAGAAACGGAGTGTCAAGAGTCCCGGTGTCTATGTCTGGGGCAACAATGCCTACAAAGTAGTCGACCCGGGATCGAAAGATTCGGTAGTGAAGACTCCGCGGAGGCTTTCGTACTTCGACGGCCAGGTCCTCAGAGACCTCAAGCTTGGCGAGACGTCCGGCGCGGCCATCACTGAGAATGGCGATTTGGTGCAATGGGGCAAGGGCTTTTCGGAGACCGACTTCAAGCCTACGACGACCCTGACTGGCAAGAACCTTACCTCGCTCTGCATGTCCAATGACCGCCTCATCACTTTGTCATCGGATGGCACCGTTTATTCGATCCCCATTGCCAAGGAAGACCAACTAGGAGGCCACAAGCCCAGCGAGGGCTCCTGGGTGCCTTTCTGGTCTGGATCGGCTAGTATGAGCTATCGCAAGCTGCAACCCAGCCTGAGGATGGGTGAAAGGGTGACCGCTGTCACCGGCGGAATCGATCACGCACTGCTTCTTACCAGCTCAGGCCGCGTCTTTTCGGTTGCCTCTTCATCAGAAAACTATCCCTCCTTCGGCCAGCTTGGTGTATCGGGGTTGAAGTGGGCGAATCGCCCCAAGGGACCGGTGGACATGTGCCACGAGGTCAGCGCCCTGAAGGGATCCAAGATCATCCAGGTTGCGGCCGGCGACTATCACTCGATGGCCCTCGACGACCACGGCAATGTATATGCCTTCGGTGATAACTCTTTCGGTCAGTTGGGAATGGAATTCGACCCGTCATTCCCGTACTGCGATGCGCCCATCATGGTGCCGATTAGGAGACTCTATCGGGGCCCATACCTCCCCAAGGCCACTCGGATTGCCGCCGGAGGCGCCAATAGCTTCATCGCTGTGGATGTACAGCGGGTACTAGGTTCGAATGAGAACCCTTCCACTGTCCGCGACCTAGGCCGTGTCACGGTTGATGTCTGGACGTGTGGACGGGGAATTTGGGGTGCACTGGGTAACGGTAAATGGACTCATATCCAAGACTCCCTTACAAAGGTGAAGCCCTTGAGTGGGCTGTTCGAATACGATGAGCGCCTGAAGGGACTCGCCCCTATCCGCATGCGTGATATCTCCGTAGGTACGACACATGTGTCGGCGGTGATGGACAACAACACGCAGATGGACGCAGCTCCTACAGATTCTCTCGATGAAATGAATGCCTGGGGCTACGATGTCCTCTGGTGGGGCGGCAACGAGCACTTCCAACTCGGCACCGGCAAGCGTAGCAACTCGTCCAAGCCGATCTACATCAATGCGCCTACTGAGGGCAAGAAAGAAGCCGAGAAGCAGGATGCACGGCTTCAGATAATGCCTCGTCACAAGAGCAAGGTCGGTCGTCGCACGGTGAACATGGAACAACGGGTGGAGTGCGGACGACACATCTCGGCGATCTATTCTGGGGTATAGTTTTACTGTTTCGTTGCAATATGTGAAATAACCACGGGTGGCAAAAAGCGGTCATCTAAATTGTACATTACTAGGTAGTTGGTTCTGTGGGCTTCGGTTGGGAAAAGCAGGCAGGTGCGAAGCTATTGATATTTTGAGGTATTTTTCTTTCGTGTCAATGTGCAGAATAGGAGTCATGGAGCCGAGGTTACACCAATAAATAAACCAACATCTGCAGCAGATAAGTAACAACAACAGTCCCAATCCCACTCCATCCAGAAGACTCGCCCGATCCAACTTACCCTGCCTGTCACAACTCCGCAAGAAACCCCCCAGAGTCTGTCTCGGGGACGGCGGATCCATCCATGATGTCAAAAACCCGGGATCTGTCGCCATTCCGGGACTGTCTGTGGATCCGCAAACGGTCCCCATTCGAGCGCTGCTGCTTGGCTCCACGAATTTCCGATTAATTGACCTTCAAGTTTTTTTTTAAATCGCGGGCAACCCTTAGCTTCGTTTGAAGCCGATATAGCAATATAATCTAGTCTCAGGGCTTGATACGCTCACACATCAATGGCTGCTTCATCGCCAGCAGATCGCGCGGAGGAGGTCAAGAGCGTGAGTGATGAGTTTCTTCGTCCACTTCCCATCATCCCATTGTCGCATTCCAGCGGGGAGTAGATCATCGACATGCCTAACCTACTATTCGTCAATCAATCAAAACTAACCATTGATCGCATCTACTTCAGCTCCTGAGTGCAGTTGAAGACCTCCTGATCCCCTTCATCCGCAGCGCGGATTTGGACCCTCTCGCCTCCAACGAATCCCCTTCCCCGAACGACGACAATGAAAATGGCACATCGCTAGTCGAGCACAAAAGACCGGAGGAACTGCAGCGGTTGCTGCAGCTGAGCCTGCCGCAGGAAGGCACGGGTCAGAATGGTCTGGTGGACGTTCTCCGGCAGGTGCTCCGCTACTCGGTCAACACCTGGCACCAGGGGTTCCTCGACAAGCTGTACGCCTCGACCAATGCGCCCGGCGTCGCGTCGGAGCTCATCCTCGCGGCCCTGAACACGAACGTCCACGTCTACCAGGTCTCGCCGGCCCTCACGGTCATCGAGAAGTACACGGGACAGCGTCTGGCGGCGCTGTTCGGGCTCACGGGCCCGCGCGCCGGCGGCATCTCCGTGCAGGGCGGGTCGGCGTCCAACACGACCTCGATCGTGATCGCGCGCAACAACCTGTACCCGGAGACGAAGCGCGAGGGCAACGGGGGCCACCGGTTCGTGCTGTTCACGAGCGCGCACGGGCACTACAGCATCGAGAAGGCGGCGCAGATGCTGGGGCTGGGCAGCAGCGCGGTGTGGGCGGTGCCCGTCGACAAGCAGGGGCGGATGATCCCGGCGGAGCTGGAGCGGCTGATCCAGCAGGCGCTGGCCGAGGGCCGGACCCCGTTCTACGTCAACGCGACGGCCGGCACGACGGTGCTGGGCTCGTTCGACCCGTTCGCCGCGATCGCCGCCCTCTGCAAGCGATACAAGCTCTGGCTGCACGTCGACGGCTCCTGGGGCGGCTCCTTCATCTTCTCGGCGGCGCAGCGCCACAAGCTCGCCGGCGCCGAGCTCGCCGACAGCATCGCCATCAACCCGCACAAGATGCTGGGCGTCCCCGTCACCTGCTCCTTCCTCCTGGCCGCCGACCTGCGCCGCTTCCACCGCGCCAACACCCTCCCCGCCGGCTACCTCTTCCACAACCCGGACACGGCGGCCGAATCGTCGGAAAGTTCCTCGGAGGAAGAAGAACCGGAGATCGACTCCCCCGAGGTCTGGGACCTGGCCGACCTGACCCTGCAGTGCGGCCGCCGCGCCGACTCCCTCAAGCTCTTCCTGGGCTGGACCTACTACGGCTCCGCCGGCTACGAGCGCCAGATCGACTCCGCCTGCGCCGTCGCCGCCCACCTCGCCACCCTGGTCCAGCACAACCACAACTTCATCCTCGTCAGCGAGAACCCCACCCCGTGCCTGCAGGTCTGCTTCTACTATGCGCCCCAGCGGCAGATGGTCTACCCGCGCGCCCCGGCGACGACGACGACGACGGCTGAAGCCGAGGCCGAGAGGGCCAAGGCCAACAGCAAGGTTACGGAGCAGGTGACGCATGCGATCGTCCACAAAGGGTTCATGGTCGACTTCGCCCCGCCCAGCGGCGATGAGGATGCCGTCGGCGACGGCAAGTTCTTCCGCTGCGTGGTCAACGTGCAGACCGCCAAGGAGACGGTCGAGGCGCTGCTCAGGGCCATCGAGGAGGTCGGCCCCGCCATTGTCGAGAAGTTGAAGGCCCAGGGTCGCTAGAGCCGTGCCGGGTGCCGCTGGGGTCTTGGGTTTGTCGTGCATCGTTGATAAGCCCCATTTCTCCCTGCGCGGGTCAGTCCGACTGTAGTTTGAGTGCAACATTCTACAGACTGGTTGGTATATCTCTTTCAGAGTGGCTGTACATTGGCGTGAGGCTTAGAAGGGAAGACAAACAAAACAAAAACTAATAGAATAGAGCATAGAAATTATAATGTCGTCGCAAGACGCTTGTCAATAGGTTCAAAATACGTTCAATGGATATCTTATGAGTTCAAGTACTTCACCGGCCCGCGATAATGCACAACAGGGCCCCCTCTTATGCTCAAGCACTAGTTACCAATCTCGGCTCGCCGCTCCAAGACACTTCTAGCCTCCGCTTCCGTCAACGAGTCGATTCCAAGCTCGGCTAGAACTTCTCTTGCGCTCTCATTGTCCTTGAAAAGCCGTTTTTCGACCTCCCAGAGCCCGGCTCGAGCGGTAGGGCCCGCTTGCGTGGGCTCATCCTCGCTCGGGTCTGTGGCGCCATCCAGAGCTGTTGGCCCCGTCGTGCTCAGCCCGAGCAGTAGAAGCGCCTCGCTCAACTTCTTCAGCACTTTCTTAGAGCCGCCAGGATGGCTCGCCGCGCCTAAAGCGACGTCAACCACACTGCCGAGGTGGTCCATGTCGCTAATGAATTGCAGGGCCCCAGAGGCTGAAAACGTGTTCCTCATCAGGATGCTGCTCCACATGAACGTCTGAATCGCGAGAAGAACCTGCCGGGTGATCCGGCGCAAGGGGGCGAATCCCAGGGCTCGGGAGAGGAAGGATAGCTCTGCGGAAATGGTACGCAGGACAGGGGCTAGGTCGGAGGTGGGCGGCAGAGGAGCGCCGTTGGGAGCCGGCGTTGTGGCTGCCAGGGTTGTCCAGGTCGAAACGCGGGAATAAGGCTTCAGAGCGGAGCGCACATTTGATGTTAGCGTGGATGTGATGATCGACTCGGAGCGGAGTCGTAAACGCCGGTATGCGGAAGCAGTCTCGTCGAATAAGGCGCCTTCGGAGGCTGTGCCTTGATCGTCGTCGTTGTGGTGGTTGCTGTTGTTCACAGCCTGGGAAGTGCGCGATGCAACGTCTGCGATAGACATGGAGCCCGCCACGTTCTTGCCGCCGTCCTTATTTAGCCTGACGCGCTCTTGGAGCTCAGTCCAGAGCTCCACAAAGAATACTTCGTTGCTCCAATCTTCCATCTTCTTCTCGAGCCACTCCGCGCTTCCAAAGACTCTGCAAAGTCGCTCAAGTCCAGCCACGCCTTCGACGCTGGCCTGTCCGTCCGAGCCCTGCACGGTCCGACCGATAGCTGAGGTCATTGCGAGGTAGGCCTCCAAAGCGGACTGTAGGCGTTCGTGAAATTGGTCGAAGATGGTGATCTGGATGTCGATAAGGAAGCGAAGCTTTTGACTGAACGACGATAAATGCTGGTAACGCTCGGTAATTGTTTCGAGGAGGTCGTTGACACGGATCGCGGCCTTGGTCGGTTTCGTTGACGAGAGCTCAACGCCATCGTAGTCGATATGACCACTGTCTGGTGCGTCCACGATCTCTTTGTAGCGAGCTAAAGCGAAGTCCTTCTCAACCTGTAGCCAGCGATCAAACCAACCCTGTTTGGTCAGGACCTCCCACGTCACACCTTTCCAGTCCCCAGCGACATAGGGGTCCGGTAAATAGTTCCAGGATTCGCGGACCTCGCTGTCAAAAGTCATCAATTCGTGCACAAAATGGCTCAGGAGTTGTGGGTGTGTCGATATTTGAGGCATGAAGGTGGCTATCTTGTTCCGCAACACAGGCAAGAGTGCTGTGATAAAGGCATGAGAGGCATTATAGAAGTTCCACTCGAGGTCGGTTCCGACCTGTTTCGCCTTTTCGTCGAATATAGGCTGCAAGAACGAGGCGAAGAAACTCCCGAAGTTGTTCATCAGATCCGTGATATGAGCTAAAAAGTATTCCGGCTGCGACTCTTAGACTCATGGTTTTCAACACGGTAGTTATACGGGATAGTACGGTACCTTGTCAAGCCTGTTCGTCGGCTTATCCCCGCTGAAGTGGTATTTAAACCGAAGTTCCAGCGGATGCACCATCACCTCGAGCGGCAACAGCACCGGAGGCTCAGCGCATTGATGCTCGGGCACAGAAGCGCGGCCAGTAAGCTCACTATAGCATTTGTGTTAGAGCATGAACCGCTTTCCGCAACAAGAATTCAATAAAGGCGTACGGTATCTGCAAGTCGAGGAGCAATCCGACGTTCTCCCTCCACTCCAGTTGAACATCATTCGGGAACTGCAAGTCTTTCGAAGGCCACTTCATGCGGTCCATCGTTCCTTGCAGCCGCTGCGAGAAATGGCTTTTCATTTGCTCTCTGAGCGCCGAAACCAACTTCCCCACATAATCGACCAAGTGAGGGGCAGCCCCTTCTGCTGCCGGCTGGGCCTCGTGCAATGATCGAGAGATGTTGCGAAGCCGAGTATATGATTGAATCGCCAACCTGGGATCACTTCCGGTATCCTTCAAGGCTTGCTGGCTGTATGCAGTTTTAGCAGTTAAAGCACAGAAGGCAACTTGAAGCTATTTCCCCACCTTAACTCCTCCGCTTCCTTCAACACAGTCATGTAGCCCCTAGAAATCTCAAGCCTCCGCAGCTTTTCGATGCTAGCCTCGAACCGCTTGGCCGCGTCATCGCTAGAGTCGGACCCAGTGATTGCTTTCAGGCGCCTGTCAATATCCTCTTGCTGCACGTTGAATGCTTCGGCTCGCTGGCGAGTAGCTTCGGCGTGGTCGTTGGAGGCCTTGGTGGCATTGGAAAGAGCTTCTTGTGCTTCGGCTAGCTATTTCGAGTCCTTCGTTAGCATAGTGAAAGGGAAGGAGAAGTATAGTATGGCCGTTGAAGCAAAGGGGCTGAGCAATATACCTGCTTGCGTTGCAGCTCATGCTGGGCTCGTAGACTCGACAACAAGGAGTCGAGGCTCTCTAGATCAGCAGAAACCTGAAGTTTATCGTTCAAATAATCCTCCACTCTTGTCCTCTCATGCGATGACAAGGCAGATGCAGAAGTGGCCATTCTTCGCGAAGTGAGATAAATTGTTTTGGAGAAGTTGGCGGGGGGAAAAGTACAGCGTGGAGTCGCAAAGTGGACGGCCGCTACGGTGTCTCCAACGGAGAATAGCGGCTGGAAGCTCTGGCCTTCCCGCTGCCCGTTCCGTCCAACCAACGTCATCGTTTCCCTCCCGTAGCTCAAGACACTATGAAGCACGTCGCAGCACCTCAAACTCAATGGCTTCTGCTTGATAAGACCTTTGTCCTCAGTCTAACGTGATGGCCAGTCCGGCGAAGAAGCGGAAGAGGGATGACCTCGAATCCTCCGCTCAGCGCAACCGGAGCATAGCGTCATTCTTCCAAGGGCAAGCCAGCAAGCGGGCGGAGAAGACCCAGCAAGCATTGCAGACTCCAGCTGAAACTGAAACCCCAGATGAACAGACTCTATCTGACGAGGCTCTTGCTCGCAAGCTTCAGGCTGAGTGGGACCAAGAGATTGCCGCTCCAACATCGCAGGTCGATACTCCCACTAGCGAGCCTACACCGGTGCCGGCGCCGGCGCCTCTAGACTCGGAGGCTACCGACCTGAAACCAACCACTGGACAAAATAAAGGCATCCTATCTCTTCAGTCATCGACGGGAACGGAAGATACGATTTCTCTGGCTGTGCCGTTCGACCAGAGCCCCATCACATTTGACGCGGCCAAATATGCGCAGGAGCTGAAGGGCCACTGGGCCGCGCAGGGAGGCGACGCTACATACGCGCTTCTAACCAGAGCTTTCGTCCTTGCGAACGCAACAACCAGTCGCATCAAGATTGTGGATACTCTAGTCAACTTCCTTCGGGTCTTGATTGAAGGTGACCCTTCGAGTGTTCTTCCCGCAGTCTGGCTTGCGACGAATTCCATCTCACCACCGTACGATGAGATAGAGCTAGGCTTAGGCGGATCCTCGATCTCTAAGGCTCTGAAGAAGGTTTATGGCCTTAATAGCCAGGGTCTCAAGACCCTTTACGACAAGCACGGCGATGCAGGCGATGTGGCCTTCGAGGCCAAGAAGAGGCAGAGCTTCACCTTGATGAAGCCCAAGCCACTGAGGATCAAGGGCGTGTACCAAGCTCTTAAGAAGATTGCCCTGAGTAAAGGAAGTGGAAGCCAGGAGGCCAAGCAGAGGATAGTTGAAAAGCTACTGCAGGACGCTCGTGGTGCAGAGGAGAGTCGATACATTGTTAGGACACTCGTCCAGAATCTGCGCATTGGGGCTGTCAAGACGACAATGCTTATTGCGCTGGCCCGAGCCTTTCTATACTCCAAACCAGAGGGAGCTGAGTTTGCTGTCCAATCTCAACAAGACATGGCGCGTTTGAAGAAGGAAGAACTCGCAGAGGTCTACAGCAATGCAGAGGAAATTGTCAAGGCATCCTATGCTAGACATCCGAACTATGACGATCTTGTAACATGCCTACTCGAAAGCGGCGTGACAGAGGAACTCCTTGTGCGCTGCGGACTACAACTACACATTCCTCTCAGGCCGATGCTAGGCAGCATCACGCGCGATCTATCAGACATGTTAACCAAGCTACAAGGGCGAGACTTTGCCTGCGAGTACAAATACGACGGACAACGCGCCCAGGTTCATTGCGACGAGGCGGGCAAGGTGTCCGTCTTCTCTCGCCATCTCGAGAATATGACCGAGAAGTACCCGGATCTCGTGTCTCTCGTGCCCCAGATCCGGGGCGAAGGAGTGTCCAGCTTCATCTTGGAGGGCGAGGTGGTTGCAGTCGATCAGGGCACGGGGGATCTGCAAGCCTTCCAAATCCTCACCAACCGCGCGAAAAAGAACGTCGATATAGGCTCCATCAAAGTGAACGTGTGCTTGTTCGCTTTCGACTTGATGTACCTGAATGGACAACCACTGTTGGATCGCTCATTCCGCGAGCGTAGAGAGCTCCTGCGGAGTCTATTTGTCGAAGTGCCCAAACGGTTCACCTGGGTCAAGAGTCTCGACGCCACATCCGCGGACTCCGAGGCCGTCCTCGAGTTCTTCAAAAGCGCCACCGACATCAAATGCGAAGGGATCATGGTGAAGGTGCTCGACAACGTCCTCAAATCGGACCTCGAGCTGAGCGGCACCACCGCGCCGCCCACTGACCCCGCCCCTGGCGAGAAACCCGACCCCAAATCCTCTTCGACATCCAGAGCGGGCGGAGGGCGACGCAAAGCCCTGCTGTCGACCTACGAGCCCGACAAGCGCCTGGAATCCTGGCTCAAGGTCAAGAAGGACTACAGCACCTCCTCGGAGACGCTGGACCTGATCCCCGTGGCCGGCTGGCACGGCAACGGCCGCAAGGCGAAGTGGTGGTCGCCGATCCTCCTCGCGGTCCGCAACCCGGAGACGGGCGGCCTCGAGGCCGTCACCAAGTGCATGTCCGGCTTCACCGACAAGTTCTACCAGGCGAACAAGGACAGGTACGCCGAGGGGTCGCCGAACGTGATCTCGCGGCCCAGCTACGTCGAGTACTACGGCGCCCCGGACGTCTGGTTCGAGCCGCAGGAGGTCTGGGAGATGGCCTTCGCGGACATCACCCTCAGCCCGACGTACCCGGCTGCCATCGGCCTGGTGAGCGAGGAACGCGGCCTCAGTCTGCGGTTCCCGCGCTTCCTCAAGGTCCGCGAGGACAAATCCATCGACGAGGCGACCACCTCGGATTACTTGGCGTATCTGTGGCGGAAGCAGTCCGAGAAGAGTAGATTGGAGGGGGAGCCGCCCGCACCAGCGGACGATGCTGACGAGTAGAGAGAGATCCACCTAGGACATAGACATGACCTAGAACATCAAACCGGCTATTTGGCGTAGATGAGATGATGACCTTCTGTTTTGGGTATGAATATATACGAGTACAAACAAATCTACTCCGTAGGCACGAGCCAATTCCAATCAAAACTTGACTCCCTCCAACCTCCCCAACATAAACAGCCATAGCCATAATACCTAGCTAGGACAAATACTCGACAAGGTAACTCCAGCTAAACACCCAATCTATCCCAAAATTCCTGGGCTTTCACCTTCCCATGCTAAAAAAACCCCCCAAGGGCCCAAGCAAAACCAACATCACGTGCCCGCCCACGGGCGCGCGTAGATCACCAAACCACCCTAACCCGAACAAAGAAAAGCTCGCCGACGGCCTAAGGCTAGCAACTTAAGCCCCCCCCATTAACCCCAAACTAGACTAGCGCCAACGCGAAATCAGCGCGACAGCTTGCTCCTTCACGCGTTTGCGGCTGACGCGTTGATTACTTTTTTTTTGTTGTTGGTTCCCGTGCCGTGGCCTGTCTTTTGCCTTTCCCCGACAACGCAACACCGAGGCAACGCCCTCGCCTACGAATACGATGCTCGGCTGGAAAGGAAATCCTGAGCAGACGTCATTTGTTTTTTTAAGGCTTGGGTGGGGGGGTTTTAGTGGGCTTTTTCCGTCTTGTCTTTCGTCTGGTTTAATTAATGTCTGCGAATGGGTTCGTGGATACGTCATCGATTTTCGAACATGTAAATTCTGGGTTGCCTATCGGATTGATTGATTGTTCTTGAGGTTTCTGTCTCTGACACGCGAGAAGGACTTCTCTTGAAGGTTGAATAGTTCATCGTCAGTGGATATGATGAAAGAAAAAAGTTATCCTGTGGAAACTTGGAGGCCATGGTATGGTAAGGAAGGCCGAATATCTACCGATTGATTGGTGGGTCACATGGTTTTGTTTTTCGCACACAAAGGAAAATCATAACCAGGGATCCCTTAATCGTGATTGCGACACAAGGAAGAAAATGATATGGACAGCAGGGATGTAATTTCAGACATTTATAGCCCGGTATGGTTTCATCGAGTTAAAAGGGCAATATTCAAGCAGAGAAGGAGCAACACAGCAAAAGGGGGTATGAGACTAGGACAGAAATAGGGAAAATGGGCACATAACAGTCATCAAGAGTCGTAAGTATTAAGCCCGAATTGCATCCATCATTGGAAGCGGGCATATACATTCATGGACGATGGGGCTACGGTCGCAACTCCTCCCCGAGTTGCAAGACAGTCGTCGGTCCCTTTGAGCGGATTTTGGGGCTATCCGCCCCTGGTGGTAGCAAGCTGTCCAGGTTGGAGCGCCTGCGGTCTTTATTAGCCAGCGGGGTCCTTGACGGGCCCCCTGGTGTGCGGCCGCCCCAGGCTGGCTGTGCTGGACTCGGCGTCACGTTCACAAAATCAGCAAAATTGAATTGTTGGTTCGGAGTGCCGAAGCTGGGAAAGACACCACCCCCGAGGGTTGGGGTCAGCGATGGTAGAACGGCATGCTGGCTGGGGGGTGTCGAAGGAGGAAAATCTCGGGCCTGGGGCTTGCTGACACTGGCTGGCGTGGGAGAGTTGGCAAGGTATAGAAGCAGATCGGCCCCGTCCTCATGGCGTAGATTTCGTTCGTTGCGGGACGAACGGATGTGCTTGGGAGGGGGAGTGCGCGGGGGGGAGGAGCCCACCATGGAGCTTACAGCTTGGAAGCTGTGGACAGGAAGATCTGGATCATTATCGTCCTCAGACGGCGGAGGATATGCCGGCGATGAATATTCTGGAATCGTAGCTGAATCTGGCATGAAAGGGAGGTGGAGCTGCCGGCCTGCTCGGTGTCGGTTGAAACCCGGAGACGATTCAGGCAGATGATATGAAGCCTTCCAGGAAACTCGAGGTGCCTTCACAGTCTGCTCGGTGATTGAGTCCGACCGTAGACGTTTACGACTGGCCGACAACATCGGCTGCATCACTCGAGAGTCGAAGGTTGCTGCATGTTTGTTGCGGGACGACCTGGGCAGCTCCTTGGAATAGGACGGATTCGGCAAGGGCGGCGGAGTCAAAGGCGTCTCACTACGACCGTGGGAAATGTCTGACGAGGAATCCGATGGCTTGTCACTTCCCAATGAAGCCTGTCTTCCTCCGTTGACGTTGGGGTCAATAGCATGGAGTCGACCATTCTGGTACTTGACCTTGGCGAGGCCTAGACGATCTTGGAGGTTGAGGGACACCTACACACAGGAGAAAGCATTCCGTTAGTTGGGTGTCTAGATAATGATGCAGAGGAGCCGTCCAACATTGGAGCTGGTGAATCACATACTTGGGCAATGTCAATTTTTCGAATCGTTCGCTCAGCGGTGGGCGGATGAGTGAGGGCCATTGTTCCGTAGTAGTCTTGACGACAGCAGATGCACCGGGGATTTGCTTGCAGGAAACAGGATTGGATGGGGGTGGTCACAGACCACTCGGAGGCTAGTGAGGATGGAGAGGGAGTGAGCCTGGAGTGATGACAGCAGAAAGACAGGGCCCCAGGTAGGTAATGTCCAAAGCAAGGCCGGCTTGTGACAGAGTTTCAAGCCGGAAGAAGCAAGGCTGGGCTGAGGAGTGGAAGTCTGGGAAGTAGAAGAAGAGGGGACGAAGGGCTGAAAGAACAAGCAAAAGATGGAACCCAATTGGAGGAAGATCGATCGTGTAAAGCCCAGAGAAGTTTAGTCGGTTTCGATGTCGAAGTTGGTTTAGTGAGGAAGTTTAGTCCGTAGTCCGGCTTCAATTGGAGTGAGCACCAACAACAACAACAACCGAAATGGATGGATGAAAGGACTTCTAGAAGCTGCAAAGCTTCTTGTTGACGGACAAACTAATGGGAATTTTGATCGAACTAATGAATGAATGCAGTCGCCGTTGCAGGTGAGAAATTTGCACTGGAAGATCTCTGGAGTCAACCGTTCTGTGTCGAAAATTCAAAAGGGAGGAAAAAGAGAGGTTTTTTTTGGAGAGCGGGTGGATAAGCGCCATTCATCCTCCATCCTCCCAATGCATCATCCCTTGGCTCGGCCTGGCAACTTGTAACTTACATCAATACAACACAACCACTATCGTCAACCAGCAAGTCTTTTGTACTCTACCTGCAATAAACAAGAATAGTGACTGGCACTTCTCAATTTCTGATTGTCTACATTGAACAGCACTGCACAAATCACCGCTTGGTTAACAACATACTACGTTACTGGGCCTTTCTGTTGATTCGAATTCATTCTGCCTACCAAGAAATGCCCTTTTGAAGCACTACTGAAACCCGATGTCAATCTCTGAAGCAACAAGTGAGGATATTTGGTCAATTCACAGCCAATGGTACAGTACCCGTTGCGACTATCGGAATGTTCCAGGACTGCAGCCGTCGCCAATCTGAGCAGTTCAATATGCTGAAAGAAAATCTTCCGATCTCTCCATCCATTCATTCCAGTTCCTCCCTTCGTTCTCCCGCCGTCTGCCTAGATACATACATGAGTAGACTCTACCTAGATGTCCAGCTGTCAACCCCAGGCTGCAGGCCCTCTGCTTAACCGGGGTAATTGACCATAACAAAAGTATGCTGATGCATCGATGCCAGAGGGCAAACACTGTCTGGTTGCCATGGCCTAGCCGCTGTCTCCGGCGCCCCTCCGCTCTTCAGGTCCCTGCCGCACCCACCGAAGGGGTTCTATGCCCTGCGCTCGGTTTCAGATCATAGCCATCTATCAACCTCCGTACAACGGAAGGGTCCGTAGAAAAGATCTAAGGGTCTGGAACTTGGTAAATCCCTTCTGATACACAGAATAACAACAAGAGTCGGTAGCATCCATCATGGTGGCTGCTCACTCCCCCGACGGGTCCCACTGTCTGGCATCTGTGGTTGAATTTGATATCCAGCATGTAGGGCTCCGCGCAGTGGCACCTAACATTCTCCTTCAATTCTTATCCTTATTCTCATCCCCGGAAATGTTCTTGCGCCATTGCGGGTTTTCCGTAGGCGGAGAATTTCATCTGCTGGTTACTATCGGTTAGGAGTTTACACACCAGAAGAGTTCTGTTCTGCTGGGGCTCCGGAATATGAATCGTCCCAGAAGAAAGCAGGGTTAAGGCTGATGGAGACATCGGGGGGGACTAAGGTGGTGGAGTGCACCCTGTTGTCCTGCAATAATCAATCAGGTCGAGCTCTCACGGCAAATGCCCCTAGGGAGGGACCCAGATCGGAAGAGCTACTCGGAAAGCAAACGGGGAGAAAGAGTACGGAGTACGGGGGCACAGCCGCTGGGATCACAATGGGAAAGAAACAAGGAACTCGCGAAACATGACGTGGACCTGGTCCGGAACATTGGATTTTGCGAACAGCAGCAGTAGCACCACCATCGCGGAATTGGAGCCGTCTATCAGCGACTTAATGATCGAGCAGCTGTCACTATGGGAGCTTCACTACAATCCATGTGCATATAGAGGAAAGGCGGTAGGGCTCGATAGTAAGAGCAGATTGTTCTTTGTAGACAACCACTTATGTTGTGTGCACACTTTGATAGCTGAGGGTGGTGAGGGGAGATGGAACAACACAACAATGGGGCTGTTTTCTCAACGGCATGATAAGGGACAAATCTGTCGTTAATTAGGCCGTTCACGGTGGGCTCTTCTCGACTTCTTTGAGACTAGCAGGACCAAATCCAGGTTCTGGGATGGATCTAGTCTCAAGGCTCCATGGAGGCTGGAGCTGGGGGCGCTCCTGGCGCCAAGCTCCCTCTTACCGGCAGGCGCCATCCCGTCTAAGTTGGGTTCACCAGCTAAGGTGCGGAACCGCAGTAGTGACCCGGGCGAGCAAAGATGCCTAAGTTACGAGTCACGACAGACGGGATTTGCAGAAGAGAAAAAAAAAACAAAAAAACAAAAGTAACGCTCCAGGAACTTGAGCAGTGCGACATCCATGTCTGGAGCTGAGTAGACAAGACTTTAGAGACGATGTCGTTAGTTAGCCCTTGTGTAAGTGGGGAGGAAATCAGGGGAATAAGATAGGGGGATAGCAACTGTCTCTTATCTCGCTGTGAGACTTTGAGGTATTTAATAGCTTTGCATAGCTACTCCGAGGAAGAGAGGGAAAAGGGGAAGGGATCCAGAACCTCCCTCCCTTTCTGCGGGCTGCATCCTGCATCCTGATTGTTAACATTCTGATTGTTCAGTACGAAGTAGTTACAGTTGAGTCCAAAGGTATGTGCGCCGAACGGCAGCCAAGAAATATCAACCACCATCAAAACACCTACTGCCGTGCCACTCAAACTGTTCTGCCTGCCGGCGTGGTACGTACAGCGCTAGCAAGGAAGATCCGAGATCCCTGCGATTACGCCGCCGCCGCCGCTGCTGCTGCTGCTGCTGCTGCTGCTTTTGCTCTTCTGCGCATCACGGGTTACCCATACCGACCGGCTCCTGCTCAGTCAGGCCAAAGCGATATTTTGTACGTACTGTACTCGCTGCAGAGTACATAAGCCTTAACTGGCCGACCGCTCTCGGTTCCTATATCGATTCTCGGAACGGTAAGATAGCAGCAGTTTGCGTTGCTACCACGGAACTGCAGCAAGAGGCTGAGGATAAGACCGAAAGACAAATATAGCAGACGATCGTCTAGCTAGGCTCCACCGGACCGGGATGGTGAGACGGTGATGTTAGGAAGACAGCGAGTGGTTAGTTAACTAGTCCACCCTCCACCGTAGTTTAGCCTGGTAGAGGCCACTATCTCACGTTCTTAACCATTCTTCCTGCACTTCTGTTCCCTCCCCCTGTTGGCCAGTGGCATCTAGCCTACGTAAGACACCCTTGTCTATTCGCAACGAGCCCCCTCTGGCTGCAGCTTGGCTGTAGCCCCTCCTCTCCTTCCACCACCCCCCCACCTTAATCGCCGATGGCAGCAATTCACTTGTGATTAGTATCGCTATTTCTGATGGTCTATTATTCTCCATTCTCCTTTAATCGGGGTTATCGACCTTGTACCCATTTACAGGGGCACTTCTCGGTCTCGGTCGTTATCGGCTTGCATCCAGGGACCACCGGGGCGGAAGGGTCAACACCAGGGCTCAAGGGTCTGTGGTTCTCTGCAATTCTGCAGCGTGGCACTGAGGATAGCATGTCGAGGTGAAACAGACGGAGACAGCGAGTTCAAACCAAAGCCGAACAAGCTTTTAGCCGTGGTAACGGAAAGGGAATGGGATCTGGCTCTGACCGGGAGTGATTCAGATAACCCGGTAGGAGATTGGCCGTTGCAGTTCTTTATTTTTTCCTTTTCTTTTTTTTCCCTCTTTGGCTTATTTTGCTTGTTTTGCTGGACCATTTTGCGTGTCTCACATACCAATGACATAACTGACTAGCACAATGGCTGGCGATTGTTCTCTTTAGTTTTAGTTCCAGGCACTAATCGACCCCATCCGGCTTTTCCACTTCTCTCACTTCCAATCTCTTTTCTTCATAGTCTTACTGCGGAGTACTAGTATCCCGTCAATACTGTCTGTTCCATAATCCATTATTCTCCTTAGTTCCTTTCTTACCCCCAAGAAACCCAAGAAAAAGAGAGAGCAAGAGAGAGCGAGAGAGCGATAGACGCAACCTAAGCACCAGTTTACTTACCAGTTCCATTCGTTGATTATCACCTAATTTCCCCCTACTACTTTTATTTCTACCCTTATTTTATTTTTACTCATATTTTCATTATTTTTATTATCATTATTATTTTTCTGTTGGCCCTCCTTTACACCAAAAGTCCCTCCTTCCTTGGTCAAGCCAGCCCTCTGGTCTGCCTCTTGTTCCTAGTTTTTCCCTCTTTTCTCAGCTTCTCTAATCTTTTCCCCTCCCCGCCTTTGACTTGGCTAATGATTTCATTCTAGTTGACCCCATTGTTGGTCCTATCTCCCCTCGTTTCTTCTTTTCTTTCCTGCTCTCTTTCTCTCTTTCTTGTCTCTCGCTTGTTCAATTATTCTCCAAACCAACTGTCAATTTGTGAATTTCCATTAAACTTCCAGAAATTCCAGTGATTGCGGGGTGCTTATTCCAGTGGTTGATCAATCGCAACCGCAAACGGTTGCTTTTTTCCTAGCTTGTTGTCGGGACAATCACCGAACAGCGCAGAGCAGCAGCGTGTTAGTCCACGCAGGAATCCCAGCAATTATACCCAGTTTGACGACAGCACATCGGCTTGGAAGATTGACAGTCGCTCGTTTATCCCTGGCGAATCTCTAAACCTCTCATTGGATGGTCGCGAAAGAAAACATCCCCCAAAGCAGTGAAAGCAGAAGAGACAGACCGGCCAGCGCTGCTCAGCCTCTCTTTCCCTTCCCAGTATAATTCCTCACCCTCCTTCTAGTCCTTCGACCCTCTTGATTCAGCAACAATCAAGAAAGATCGTCCACCATGCCGTTATTCAAGACGCTACGTCGACGCTCCAAGGCTAGCTTCACTACCACCAAGTCGCCGGAGACTAAATCGACCGAATCCCAGTCTAATGGCGATGTAACTTCGGGGCAATCGTCATCAACGCTTGAAACAGCTTCGTCCAGCTCCCTCACCCCTCCTTCTTCGATCAAGCCTACCTTGTCTTCTCCCAACCTTCCGTCGCTGAGTGAGAGCAGCAGCACACCCAGCGCAATCTCACCCCTTGCCGTGCCGCCACAACGACCGGGCCCCCTCACTACTTCTTCTTCTCAGCGGAACAGCGCCTATGTATGTGATCTCGTATCTGCGCGAGGTAAACTTACTTACTGATGGTCTGGGATCCCTATTAGTTTGGTAGTACTATGTCTGTGAATGGAGTAGGACGGTCGCCCACGCCTTCTTCCCCTTACGCACCCCGCATCATATCTGTCTCGGAAAACTCTTGGGTAAGTGATATAACCTCTGGTGGACCGTGAGTGGGCTCGAGGTCTGACTTTCGGGGGACTATTCATAGGTGCACCACAAGGTACTGCTTGTTTACGGTCAGGTTGGAGATCCGCGACAACATCCGCTGGACGGAACTGTCACAGTCTACCATCACCAGGATAGCTTCCCGTCGACCTCATGGCCTGTTACTTCTTCACACTTCAAGACTTTGGTGCATCTAGTACCTGGTCCCAATCGACTGCGCTTCGAATTTGTGTCGAGCAAGCATTCGTCCGGTAGCTCGCACCAATCGGTTCATTCATCCTGGATTTGCATCAACTATCTCCCACTGGTCAATGCTCCACCTTTGCAGTTGGTGATACTGCTCGGAAAGGATTCTGATGGCACCTTCGACACCCCGCCAGAGAAACAACAACGGGATGGAAATGGCCTCGAAACCGCTATTCAAAAGTATCGGATGGCAGCATACCTGTGGCAAGCATTCACCGGGGAACAAATGTACCGCAACAATCTTGGACGGCGCTGTTTCCGGCTCGAGGATGAGTGGCAATTGGGTACGTCGAGTCGTCGCGATACAACTACTGGCCAAATGCGAAACGAGGCCAAAATCCACGTTGTTCGGACCGAGAAGACAGTCGCGGAACTTCGGGACCTCAACATTGCGCAGCAGCACGGCTCTGCTACTCAGAAGGATGAGCTATTCCGGATCGCGAGAGATGCCGTGAAGGACTACTTTCACCTTCAGCCAGGTCAGAAGCAGTATGTCTCCGTGTTGCTTCTCGACTCACACTGGGACACAAGCTCTCAAGTGATCACTGGTCATGCGGCCCTGGGCTCGGACTCCGGAGACCTCAAGCTAGCGATCTTCGGCTCCCATAGCCTCCACAGCTACCCGTCCAATATGGAAGAGGTTGTGGATGCCTTCACTGATTGCACCAGAACAAACACCGACTTTGTAGCTAATGATTGCGGAGAGGCTGGATCCAGCTGGGAAGCTGCCAACATCGGTATCGGAGCGCACCTTCATGAGGTCGGTCACCTCTTCGGGTGTCCACACCAAGAGTCGGGCATCATGCTTAGGGACTATGTCCGCCTCAACCGGTCATTCCTCACACGCGAGCCATTTTCCACCCGAACGAAGACCCAAGGTCTTAAATTGTGCTTACCACAGGATGAATGTGGCTGGCATCGACTTGACGTTCTGCGGTTCCGGTTCCATCCCTGTTTCCGATTGCCCAGCGATGCTCCTATAGGTTCCGATGACAGCATTCAGGTTTGGCCCGTCGAAAACGGCAAAATTGTTCTCACGGCTCCATCGGGAATCGCGTTCATCGAACTCTATGCCGAAGGTGACAACGTTTGCCATAACTTTATTGAGTATATGAACAGTGAGTCGAGTAGCAACGGGCTTCCAAGGCAAATCACCGTGACGGAGACTGAACTGCGTCAACGCGTCTTCGGCAACGATAAGGAGAAGAAGAAGAGCGTCAAAATGATCATCTACTCTGGAGCTCTTGGCAGTCATACGGTGGATTCGATCAGTACTCTGAAATCGAAATTGTCCCTGGTGAAACTACCCAAGAGCCATACCGGCTACAAGGGTAGACAATTAGGACTTTCTCAGCTGGAAGGCAGCCAACCCGAGCAGCTGTTGTTGGATTGTGCCTTCATCTCGACCAAGCTTTTGACATCGGTCCGGATCTACCACGGTGCGGCCGTCAATGGACTTGAATTCTTCTATGAGGATGCAACGAGTCAGCTCTTTGGCAACAGAGAAGGGAAACCTGGCGGTGATGATTTCGTGCTCGGTAAATATCCCCTTATCCCACTTAATAGACAGGCGCTAATGAAGAAACCAGATACTCGGAGAGGGGAGATTTTGCTCGGTTTCTACATTCGGGCCGGCCACTGGATTGACGCTATTGAGATCTTGACCAGTCAAGGGAGGAAATCTGGCATGTTCGGGAATGCCCAGGGAGGCTCAGGGTAAGAATAGCCCTTCGCGTGATCTCGTCGCTTTGGATTGCAGGGCTTTGGGACTGACAAGTTGGCATTAGACACACTTTAATACCTCCTTTGGGATACAAAATCGCCGGAATCACGGGATCCAGTGGGTCCTGGATTGATGGGTTCTCACTAGTCATCATGCACTGATTTGACATTGTGTGATGACCATGAGATTTCTCACATTTCCTTGCTTGGGTTTGCGGGCCCAGGTTACCCGAATGGAAGGGCAGCTGGGTCCCTGCGACCGACCGATGCAGTGCCCCAATCGCCGGGTCCGTGTCTCGATTACGAGCGACTGTTGCTCCTCCGAATACGTTTCTTTCACGCCTTCAGTTCGATGAACAACGCAGGATACCCATTTGAATGCGTCTTTTCTTCACCCTTCTTGATTTGTGTCTGGATGTGCTTGCAAATTGATCTTCTAACTACATACCCGAGGCGGTGACCCATGTTGATCCCGCGAGTGGCACTATCCGAGGTTTATTGCATACTCCAGCCCCATGTTGCATGTTGCATGTTGCATGTTGCATTATATCTGTGCATGTAGAGGTGCAGATCATCCGACGCTGTGCCTTTGTGTTTTCTTCTCGTGCCGTGTGGTTGACATTGGGCGGCGCCCAGGAGTTTCTGTGGCCCTGATTCTGTTTTCTTTGTTGTTAGTGTTCTGCTGCCTACTTTGGCTGGAGGGAGGTTACTGGGCTACTATAGGCCAG